GTAAATAATTACCGAGCATATATACCAACTTTTAATGTCACCCGAATGGGGTTAGTAAGAGGTGTTCCAGCTGAATGGTCACCTGAAGAGATCATGGCTAATATTTCAGTACCTTTAGGATGTGGGGCTATAATGAGAGTCAGACGCATGAACTTCAAAACTTTTATTGATGGGAGCCCAACATGGAAACCTTCACAAACTGTAATTATTACTTTTGATGGACAGATACTTCCTAAGAGAGTGTACTTGTGTTATAATGCTTTAAATGTTGACCTATATATATACCCTACGATACAGTGTTATCATTGCTGTCGGTTTGGTCACACAAAGGTACAATGTAGATCTAAGCCCCGTTGTTACAAATGTGGCAAGGAACACACTGGGGAATCTTGTGGTACAGTTGAAGAGGATGCCTGTTGCTGTTTGTGTTCTGGCTTTCATTATGCCACTAGTAAAGTATGTCCAGAATTTATGAGACAAAAACAAATTAAAACTTTCATGGCTCAAAACTGTGTGTCTTATGCCGAGGCTTCCAAAGCTCACCCTCCAGCAGCTAAATCATATGCAGACATAGTAGCTTCTAAGCCTATTCCTCAATCGCCTTTGTATAATAATATTCACACATCTCAAAATAGTAGATCTTCCACTACATCATATAAGAAAACAGTGTTCTTAAACCCTCGTAATATAAATAATTCTCATACCAATATGGGTTACAATAAAGAAGCACATAATGCTATCATAAATGACTTTAGAATCCCTACACCTGCTAATGGATGTGCTATACAAAAGCCTTCTCAAGATCAAGACAATCAATCTCATATTGAGTTAATAACAGCTTTATTTAATGTATTAGCTAAGTATAATTTTATTTCACCGTCCAACGTTGCCTCTTTGTTTGAAAATTTAATGTTAACAATTAATAATGGATCTACGCAATATAATACAGTGGAACACTCAGAGTATTATAAATAAAAGAAGTGAACTTATATATTTGACCAACACATACAAGCCATTTGTTTTTGCTTTGTCAGAGACTTGGCTTAAACCACAAAAAAACTTTTATTTTGCTGGTTACAACATAGTTCGAGATGATAGACTAGGTACAGATGGTGGTGGAACAGCTATACTTATCAGAAATACAATTCCCTTTTTAAGTGTAACTCTTCCACCTCACTCTGATGATATATCAATTGTAGCTATAAGTTTTAATAATTTTTGTTTGGTATCATTGTACATAGCTCACCCTTCACCTTACATTTTAAGTGAACTTGATTTTTTGTTTTCTAATCTGCCCAAGCCATTTATAGTTCTTGGTGATTTTAATTGTCACCATACAGTCTGGGGAAGCTTTCAGTGTAATGCTCTGGGTCGAGAATTGGTAGATATTATTGACTCGCATAATTTATGTTTACTTAACACAGGCAGTCCCACACGTCAAACTGGACCAAATCAAAATCCCAGCGCTGTTGATTTATCTATTTGTTCTCCAAGCCTGGCCTCTGCTCTATCTTGGGAAACTCTTCCTTATACTTATGGTAGTGACCATTATCCAATAATTATTGAATTTCCTTGTAAGCAACAAATAATTCCACAAAAGATATCCCTTAGAAAATATAAATACACTAAAAATAATAAGGTTTGGGATTCCTTTAAAGAAAAGATTGAGGCTAAGCTATGTCTTCTACCCTCTGTTAACAGTGACAATAATCTAATATGTGCTCAATCTTTGGCCCACTTAATAACAGAGATTGCTAATGAAACATTTCCTGTGAAAAATACTTTAGAAAAAATTCCATCTCCTCCATGGTGGGACAGTGAATGCACTCTTGCTGTAAGGAAAAGGAAACAAGCGGAAAAAGAATATAATAAAAACATGTCAGATACTAACTTTGAACATTTTTGTAAACTTAAATTAGAAACTAAAAAATTATTCAAGAAAAAGAAATTTGAAGGTTGGAAAAATTTCTGTTCATCTATTTCACCTAACGTCAATCCAACAATAGTATGGAACAATATAAAGCGTTTTAGATGTGCTTTCAACAAAACTTCTTTTTCAGTTCTTCCCCAATCCTTAGCATATAGCTTCCTTGATAGATTAGCCCCCCCGTGGGTCCCAGAGAATAATAAGACTTTATCGACACAAAGTACGCATTACTTAGAAAGACCATTTACTCTATATGAATTAAAAGGTATAATCAATAATGTCAAAGACTCCTGCCCAGGAGAAGATGGAATTCCTTATTGCTTTTTTTCAAAACTTACTGATAACACACTTTCTTATTATTTAGATGTCATTAACAGTTTTTTGATAACAGGAAACGTTCCAATATCTTGGAAATCCCAGGTGATATTGCCAGTGCTAAAACCTCATAAATCACGAAATGTTGCTAGCAATTATCGCCCCATTGCCCTATCTAATGTTTTGGTTAAATTGGCTGAACATTTAATTAAAAACCGCCTGGAGTGGTTTGTTGAAAACATACAAGTTCTTTCTAAATCGCAATATGGTTTTCGGAAAAGTAAAGGCACCATCGATAATATTAGTATTTTTAATACAGATGTAAGATTAGCATTTACATTTAATGAATCTGTAGTCGCGGCTTTCCTTGATATACAATCTGCATACGATAATGTTTTACTATCGATCTTAAAAACGAAATTGGATACCATTAATGTTCCCTCTCTTCTTTCTAACTTCATTATTAATTTACTAAACGAACGTACAGTGAAACTTATATACAATTATAATAATGATATGACTAGAACAGTTTGGAAAGGCTTGCCACAAGGTTCTGTGTTAAGCCCTTTGCTATACAATATATACACGCATGATTTAGAGTCAATATTTGAAAACCGTATTAAAATTCTTCAGTATGCTGATGATCTTCTAATTTATTCTACCAATCGCGATATAGAAAGAGCAACATCAATTTTAACATTAGCTTTAAATGATCTCAAACAATGGTTAGATCAGAATGGTTTAAGCCTTTCTGCCTCTAAAAGCGCTGTGGTAATATTTTCACGGAAACGTATCATTCCCTCTGTTCAGATAATGTACGATGATGATTCAATTCCAATCTTAAAAAGCTATAAGTATTTAGGAGTTATTTTAGATTCGAAGTTATCAGGCGCTCAACATTGTGAGCATATAGCTAACAAATGTGAATGCCTTTTGAATATCCTTAGATGTTTATCAGGTGTGTGGTGGGGTGCTCATCCGTTTAGCCTTAAGATACTATATAATTCCCTGATTCGTAGTATACTAGATTACGGTACCTTTTTGTTAGAACCCGGTAATAGTATTGCCTTAAGAAAACTTGACAGAATCCAATCCAAAGCACTCAGATTAATAGCAGGAGCTATGAAGTCGAGTCCCATCAATGCATTACAAGTAGAATGCTGTGAGGCGCCTTTACATTTACGTCGTCAGTATTTATCTGACAGATTTGTTTTTCGCTCTATTCAATTATCTAATCATTCGCTCTTCCCCTTGCTTCAATCACTCGAAGAAGAAATTAACTCTTCCAGATATTGGTCTCACAAAAATCTTCCTTGTTTAATAAAAAGTTATAAAAAATATAAAAACCTGCACAATCCCACTCATCGTTCTAACTTGCTGCCACTTTTTGATGTTAACTATCAATCTTTAATATTATGTCCGAATATTATCTTAAAGTCTATTAATAAAGATCCTACAGCCAATTTTAATTTTAAATATACCATAGACTGTGAATTTAAAGACCATCATCATATTTTTACTGATGCTTCAAAAAACAATAAGTCTGGCAATGTAGGCATAGGTGTTTATCATTCACAATACAATGTTGTTCAAAAAATTAAACTTCCACCCGAATCCTCAGTTTTCACAGGTGAATGTTATGGACTTTTAAAGGCCCTGGAATATGTTATTATTATGAAGCTTAAGAAAACAATTGTATCCTGTGACTCAATGAGTGCTCTTCAGGCTGTTGGTAAATTCCCCTTTCGAATGAAAACATATTATCCTGTTATTTCTGAAATAAGAAAATTACTTTATAAGTGTTACGTTAACAACTACTACGTACAATTTATGTGGATCCCAAGTCATTGCGGTATAGGTGGCAATGAGATAGCTGATAGATTAGCAAATGAGGCCGTGAACTGTGGTGACATGCATCCATATAAAAATTTTAGCCATGACCTCTTGTCTATAGCCAAGACTGATCTTAATAGTGCCTGGTGTAATATTTGGGAAAATAGCTCAAGTAAAAAAGGTAAATTTTATGCTTCTATTCAACCACACATCTCTGTTAAACCATGGTACCGTACTGCTGATTACGGAAGAAAGGCTATTTCAATAATAATTCGCATGCGACTTGGACATGTTTGCACTCCTGATCATCTCTTTAGACTTGGTATTATTAACAATAACATTTGTGACTGCGGTAAGGGTATTATTGGCGAACTAAATCACATCATTTTTGCTTGTTTAAAGTATGATCGCTCCTTCTTTTTAAATGACCTAATATCAATTAAAATTCCTTTCCCAACTTCCGTATCCTCCTTGCTCGCTACGAATAACCCATCTGTATATAAATCCCTAGCAAAATTTATTATTTTCAACAATATTAAACTGTAATATAATTTATTTCTATCATTCCTTTACCTTATGTTATAATAATATCCTTCATCTTATCCTTATACCCTTCTAATCCTTATTATTCCAAATTCCCGTTAACCTTAAACTTTATCCCTTTCCTGACGTTTCCCTAACTTTACTCAAAAAATAATGTCATTGGCTAAATGCACAAGCCGTGCGAAGCCAGAAAAAAAAAAAAAAAAAAAAAAAAAAAAAAAAAACGTTCTACGAAGAAATTTTTTGTTAGGAAGTTGGTCGTCTGATACCTACTAAGTCTGTGAATATTACTTATCTGTGGCATTGGACTGTCCAGTATGTTATTTTGCACAAGTTAATTTGTTGAAAATTTATTATTAACCAAAAACCATTAGGATACTAACGATACTATCTAACGCACTAATAACTGAATACATAGTGTGACGTAGTGTCTCCCTCTTGGTTTTTGATAACTGTTTAGTACTTATGAAAACAAGTTTGGTGGTGAACAAAAAAATATTTGTTAGAATAATGCCAGACGGGCTCTCAAAGAAAATTGTAAAAGTTGTTGTGTTAGGAGATATTGGGCGAAGTCCACGTATGCAGTATCATGTCTTATCTCTTGCTAGCAGCGGTCATAAAGTAAATGTCATTGGATACTGTGATACACAACCTCTTGCAGAGTTATCGGGAAATAACGACGTCGTTGTTACAGAACTGAAACCCGTATTATTTAATAAAGGACCTAAGATACTTCAGTATGCTGTTAAAGCTATCTGGCAAGCTCTAAGCTTGTTAATTACATTATTCGTTACTGGAAAGTGTGATTATTTACTTTGTCAAAATCCCCCAGCCATACCAACACTGCCAGTGTGCCGTTTCTACTGTTTAGTTACTAGGACTCGCTTCATTATTGACTGGCATAACTATGCTTATTCTATCATGGCTTTATCAATGCATCCTAAACATCCTTTAGTGAAAATATCTATGTTTATTGAGAGATTTTTTGGTCAATCATCTGACCATAATCTTTGTGTTACTAATGCCATGAAAGAAGATTTATTACAGCAATGGAACATTGTGTGAGTAAGTAGTAAAAAAGTAGTAAATCAAAACTCAATAATGACATAAAATGCTCAGTTCTTTTTGTGTTGTTTTAGACATTATAAGTAGAAAATTCTCAAATGTAAATGTTAAAATATTTCTAATTACAGTTCTAAAGTCCTTTATGATAGACCACCAAAAATATTTCATCCTATTGCAATTGAAGATAAACACATGTGGTTTGTTAAGATTAGTCAACAGTATCCTGAATTCAGAACAGTAGGATTACCTCCTGTAGAACAAACTGAGGTGACTGCAACTGCTTTTACACAATCTATAGGAAATCGGGTTACATTGAGAAAGGATAGGCCAGGGCTTTTGTTTAGCAGCACAAGTTGGACACCAGATGAAGATTTCACTGTATTAATGGATGCTCTTCAAGGTAATTTAATTGAAAATATTTTTCATATTATATATAGTTAGTTTTTATTTACAGTTTATTTTGCTAGTGACAAGAACTTGTGTTAGATATTTTTTGATTTCAGTGTACTGTGATTTTTTTATGCCATCTAATATTTATCAGTCACATGAATGTTCTTTCAGTTTATGAGACAACTTACAACCTCAGCAAAAAATTGCCCAAGTTGTTATGTGTGATAACTGGTAAAGGTCCATTGAAGGAGTTCTATATGCAACAGTTGTCAAGAAAACAATGGCAACATGTCAAAGTGGTGACACCTTGGTTGGAGGCTTGTGATTATCCTAAAATGGTCGCTAGTGCCGACTTAGGAGTCTGCCTACACACTAGCTCATCTGGTTTAGATTTACCAATGAAAGTTGTTGATATGTTTGGAGCTGGATTGCCAGTGTGTGCATTTGATTTTAAATGGTAAACATGTCTAAGTTATTAAACAATTATTGAATAATAATGATAATAAAATAATTTTTAATTCTATCCACTTTTTTATTACTTTTCAGCTTACATGAACTAGTTGAAGATGGCGTGAATGGATACACATTTAGCAATAGTGATGAGCTATCTAAACAGATTGTGAGATGGTTTGAAGATTTCCCTAGCAATGAGAAGCAGAATAGGATTTGTGAAGAGATGAAGAATGAATTAGACAAATTCCAAAAATCTCGATGGGAAGACAATTGGAACTTGAGAGCAAAAGAGTTTTTTGAATGACAAATTATTTGACATGCTTTATAATATAAGGGACCAAGTGATGTAAAATTAAAATAAATGTGTCTTGATATAAAAAAAAACTCCTTTTTCATAATTTTAATTTTTATAAAAATTATTAATATGTAACTTCATACACTGCAATTTTAACTGCACATATGGTTGCACTTAAACTAATAGTCTTTCTATTTCTTGTTGAATACTTTCAATTTGTGGAGACAATTGTGAACCCTCATTAATTGTAATAGAACAGGCAATAATTGGCCGGGAGACACCACATGCCCTGCCCAAAGCTTGCTTGGATCTCACAAACACATATGGCACATTTTTGTCCTCACATAGAATTGGAATGTGTAAGACTATTTCCAAAGGTTCAGTATCAGCTGCCATAATAATAAACTCTGAAAGACCTCGATTCAAAGTCTTAGTAGCCTCATTGGCACCTTTACGCAACTGCTTATAGTTTGAAGCTTGTTGCACCAGATTCAGAATTTTCGCAGTCAAGGGTGCGTCTGCTAACGGATACGCTTTTGGATTAACTGCAGCTTCAGTTTCAGTCTGTAAATAGGAAAAAATTGTGATAAACTATAATGCAACACACGACATAACCTATAACCCACACCACAAACATAACCTATAACCCACACCACAAATAACCTATAACCCACACTACAAACAACCTATAATGTGTAAAATAATAAAGTATGTAGTAGAAGGATTACTTTTTGGGAACTATAGTCGAAAAAAAACAATGAAATATAAATAGATTTGGCTTACCATATTCAGTATTATCTACGTGCTAAATATGAAACAAACCTCTCGGCGATTAAATCGCTTCACTGAGGAATTCTACTATCTTTCAGTTTGGTTTTAGTTGCAAACAAAAACTGCAACAAGGCAAGGTACAGTAATCCACTGATTAACAATATATTGCTAGCTACAGCAATCGAAAGACGAAAACGCTTGTATAAACACACAGACGTATAAACACAACGCGCTAGGATTGGGCAAAATCTATCGATAATTTTTCAAAAAAGATCGATGTATCTCAGCGATATTTTTTCTCGCTATATATCGGCTTTCGATATTTATTTTTAGAGATCAGATTCGTTTCATAATCGATATATTTATAAAGTTCTGCTGTCTGCACATACGTATCATCATGTATTTCTTAAATTTAAAAAGAGTAGATAGGCAGTCTGCTGAATGAGTTCAGAATTTACAGTCGTAACCCTAGTAATTATTGGGATTAGTTTTTGCGAAGGACGGGATAAATAATACACGCCATGTTCATCAGATACGTTTTTCTTTATATTATTTAAATGTGACGTTTTACCATAGAGTAAGTAATACTACATAACCATAGACTAATATTCCAACACCCCCCCTCAATTTCATAAAGCTAAAGAGTTTGTTTTCTCAGTTAAAATTGCAAAACTAATATATTTATTACAATAAAAACTAAAAGAAACTTTACACTCTCTTTGACAATAACTAACAAATTAAAATAATGAAATTGTTTTTAAATCTCAATAACATAAATAACTTATTTTACAATATATTCATCCTCGAAGTTAATTAACAATGTTGATTTATCGGTAATGACTTAGTAAATATATCAGCAATATTTTTATTACTTTGCACATACGATATTGATATAATCTTTTGTGATACAATGTATTTAATGTAATGCGCTTTAATATCTATGTGTTTAGACCGTTTGCTATTTTCATAACTTTCAATTAATTTAAGAGTGCTTTGATTATCTATCCAAAGTAAACATTTTATGTTTATTGAATTGAGCTCTGACATAACACCTTTGAGATTTACTGTGTCATTTATGGCTTGAGCTGCTGCTAAATACTCTGCTTCGGCTGTTGAGAATTTTTTTTTTAGAATACCAACTTATTAATTTGTTACAATATAAAATTGCACAGCCACTTGTACTCTTTCTATCAGTCTTGTCAGATGACCAATCTGCATCTGTAAATATATTCATTTCTTTTTGATTTCCTTTTCTTTTGTAAATTAATCCTTTGTATCTGGTTCCCTTCAAATATCGTAATATCCTTTTCCCTGCTTTCCATTTACTTTCAGTGGGTTGATCTAGAAATCTACTTAAATACGAAACAGCAAAAGTAATGTCTGGTCTAGTATTAGTAGAAATAAATAATAAAGATCCAATCAACTCTTTGTAAGGTACGTCTATTATTTCTTCATTTTGATCAATATTACATCCAACTTCTAAAGGTGTAGATATTTCTTTACAATCTTTCATTTTAAATTTTTCCAATACTTTATCTATTTGTTTACTCTGATGAATTTTAATACCATTCTCAATTTTTTCTATTTGCATTCCCAAAAATGTATTTATTTCGCCTAGTTCTTTTACATTGAATTCCTTTTGTAGTATTCCTTTTATACGATCTATTTCTTTTGGTTTTCCCATTAATAATATGTCATCTACATACACTAACAGTTTTATGTCTTCATTAACGTATAAGCAAAAATCATAACTTGACCGTTTCAATCCAGCTTGTAACATTATTTTATTAAATTGTATATTCCAGCATTTAGGACTCTCCTTCAGTCCATATAAACTTCTTATTAATTTTAATATTTTATTTCCTTTAACCTTAATTCCTTGTGGAACTTTGATATAAACATCTGATTCCAATATTCCATTTAAAAATGCATTTGGCACATCAAATTGGTATACAGGTAAGTTTTCTTCTACTGAATGGGCTAAGAATGCTCTCACTGTGGACATTCTAGCTACAGGTGAATAGTTATTACAAAAATATTTATCTGGCATTTGAAAACCTTTCACCACTAATCTTGTTTTCTTTAGGCCATTATCTTTTATTGTAAAAATCCATTTGGTATCTATGCTCTTTATTCCTTCTTTGTTTTCTACTTCTTTCCATGTTCCTAATTTTGATTCCAATGATTCTATTTCTTTCTTAATAGCTTTCCTCCATTCTTCATTTTTACTTGCTTGTTCATATGTTTCTGGTATTTCTTCTTCACTTGTCATCAAACAAAATGCAGTATATAACTCATAGTCATTTAAATATTGAGGTTTCTCTATAATCCTCCCTGTACGACTTACTTCTTTTTCCAATCTATTATTATTCCTTTCATCTTCTCTTTCTTTCTCTTTTTCTTTTAAATTCTCACTTCTTTCATTATTTGTTTCTTTAACTTCTTCTTTTTCTTCTGCTTCATAAACTATTTTGTTATCTTTTATATCATCTTGATCATTATTTTTATTGAAAATAGTCTTCTTTTCATCAAAAAATACATCTGTAGAATATACTAATCTGTCATTTTCAGGATCCCATAATCTATAACCAGATTTAGTGTATCCAACCATTCTCATAGCTTTTGCTCTCGCATCTAACTTTTTTGGTTTTGGTATAGTCACTGCCCATGCTTTAGATCCAAATACTCTAATTTTATCTATTTTATTTTTCCCATACCATATCATAGCCGGAGTCATATTATGCAATACTTTACTTGGACATCTATTCAATTCATAAGCTGAACAACAAACAGCTTCTCCCCATAAATGTCTTGGTAATTTTGTTTCTGCAAACTTAGTTCTTGTTTTATCTAAAAGTGTTCTATTCATCCTCTCACTTGTTCCATTTTGCATAGGTGTATAAGGTGACGTATACTGTAGTTCTATTCCCTTTTGCCGACAATAATTTTTAAAATATCTTGATGTGAATTCACCTCCATTATCCAGTCTCAACTTCTTGGTTTTATATCCTAACTGTGTTTTAATTTCCTTTATATAGTCTATTAAATTTTGTTCTGCTTCGCTTTTCTGTTTTAATAATTTAATAGTAACAAAATGAGAATAATCATCAACTATAACTTGAAAAAATTTTGCTCCATTAATATCTGCTGGACTAATAGGACCACAAAGATCTGAATGAATAAGGTCTCCTATTTGTCTTGAACATTTTTTGATTCTAGGAAATACTTGCCTAGTACTTTTACCTTCAGTGCAGCTTTCACATTGTTCATTGGAAACTGGTAGACCCAAAATTTTCAAACTTTTCCTATTTAGATGACCAAGTCGTCTATGCCATAAAGTAGGATCTATGTCATTCACTCCGCTCAGTATACATGTTTTGTCTGAAATTATATTTAAATTTAATACATATAAACGTGAATGTAACTGTCCCTGAATCTTTTTCTGTCCCCTGCAAATTGACACTAAATTATCATGAAATTTAACTTCTAAACCCTTAGCTAGTACTTGCCTAACCGACAGTAAATTATGTGTAAGATTTTTTACTATCAAACATTTAATAATAATATTTTCATTATTCCAACTTACTGCTATTTTTCCTTTCTGTGTACTTTTTAAATAATTATCATTCGAAATATAAATCTTAATTTCATCTATTTCTTTTATATCATACATCACGCTTCTATAGCAATCTTTTATTAAGTTTTCTGTAGCTCCTGAATCTATAATGAACTTTATAGTATTACAATTAAAACTGTTACTAACATTAGCCTCTTCTTCTTTCATTTCAAATGCTGTAAATAGCCAGTTATATTCTTCTTGATTATTGTCTTGATGAATTGCGTATGTCGCTCTACTTCTTCCTCGTCCTCGCACCATTGGTCTTCTTTGCCTTCTGTATGGTCTTGAATTACTTCGTTGCCAATTTTCATACGACGTGGTTGGTTGATCTCTTCTTTGTCCATAGTATCCTCTTGTTGTTTCAGCTTTCTGACATTCATAAGATTTGTGACCTTTCTTTCCTCATATATAGCATACAAATATTTGTTCTTGGGGCGTTTGAACGTCATTGTTCGAAAATTTTATCTCTGCATCAAGCAACCTTGATTTCACAAAATCCACTCTAATATTATTATTTTCAGTTGACATTGTTTCAATAGATGTTATCACCGATTCATATTCTGGAGGCATTGCAGCTAGGAGATAACAGACTTTGTCTTCCTCTTCTATATGATGCTATATATGTGGAAAGAAAGGTCACAAATCTTATGAATGTCAGAAAGCTGAAACAACAAGAGGATACTATGGACAAAGAAGAGATCAACCAACCACGTCGTATGAAAATTGGCAACGAAGTAATTCAAGACCATACAGAAGGCAAAGAAGACCAATGGTGCGAGGACGAGGAAGAAGTAGAGCGACATACGCAATTCATCAAGACAATAATCAAGAAGAAGATTTTTTTTTTATTCAAGTAGGCTATTACAAGCACTTTAAAATCGTCCAAAAAAATTTTTTTCCCCTACCACTTGTTCAGGACGTCTTTTAGCTGACAAGAAGAAGATTAAAGGACGATCGAAGATTTTTAGTGTGACTCGTACATAAATACTGAAAGTCCCCCCTAGATAGCTTGGGGCATTAGGTGATTCTAACAAAGAAAACAAAGTGGTCAATGCCCGCACTTCTCTACGCTTTCGTATAGGCATCCATTTTAAAAGAGAGTGATATGGGGATACTTGGTCGTATTCAGGAAGATTAAAAACGAATCGAATGCAGTTATTTAGAACACGATTGTAGTTGTTAAGCAACTTTCGCAAAGGTCGGGCACAGAATGGACACAGGACAAACAACTCCAAGCTTCGGAAACTACGTAAAGCGATTGGTCCCGGTTGTATTTGCAGTCGTTAATATCCTCCAATCCACATTGGGCCAGCATGGAGGGTCGTGGCTCATCCTTTTTAACCATACATAAGGAAGGCCTGAGCTTCTGCAGTTGGTGACGTAAAAGGGCTAGGTCAAATAGTTTCGGATATATTAAAATACAAAGTTTTTGAAAAAAAATGAGTGTTTTCAACCCTGAGTCAGCTGTTTTTGGGACGTACTAAGGAAAAGTTTTAATCGGTCATTGACTTCTTCATTTCTAAAAACGAAATAAACTAGTTTGTGATTTATAAGACTGCATTCATGCAAATTCTACCAGACAATCAATAAACAAGGCAGTCAAAACGCTTAAATCGATTTACAGACTAACAGCCGGTTTTTGATTTGAAAGTAGAAAATTTGTACTGCTTATTCTCAATAACCTAAGTATTTTTTTAATTTCACAAGTCAAATAGTCCTAGTTTTATCAAACTGCTATCAACTGATCATCAAAAAACTAAAATCGGAAACGAAAACTAAGTGATGTTAGTTTGAGACGTTTAGCTTTAAATTCTCAGTTAAAAACCGAGTGTAAAATTTCCTAAATTATTGTAGAGAAATCATTTTAAAATTAACCTACGTTATTTTAAAAGAGCAGTACTCCAAAAAAATTGTTTAAATGGGGTAATACTCCTTTAATAACGGGATCGTTAATTAAACTCGATAAACTCACAAATCTTTCAGCGATTCATCATTAACACAAATGAACTTTGTTTTAAAAACATTGAGAAATTAGTTATTAAAATAGCATTTAAAAAGAACATTAAATGAACGCTTGCATGTAACCTAACTTGAAACTTTCGGCTGTGTCGGTCATTTTGCTCCTCCCTGTATCTTTGTGCTTTCTAACATTATTAAAGAAATTGCCTTATATTTTCTGAAAAATAACACATAGTGCACACAACAGAACAACCATAAACATTCACACTGTTTGATAATCTATAGATTTCTTTCGTCTATTTGATATTTGGAACAAAATCCTAATGTCAAAAATGTTATATAGTTCGCTCCGGTCATTCAAACCGTTAGTGTTGTCACCCAGAAAAAAAAATACCCATGTCAATGTATAGCGAAAAAACGACTTATTGTGCTGGCAACAAATTGGCCAGTGGTTAAATTTGGCTATGGTTTAATTTGGCATCAAAAAACGAAATAGCGAGTGTACAACTTGTTAATGCTTTAACTATAGTCAAGTTAACAAATGGTGAAATGACATTTGACTACGGATCAAAAAACTGGCCCTAAGCTATTTATAATACGTACTACTCTTTGAGTAATATATATCAATGCAATGCTACCAGTGTTGCCAGGTCATTTTTTTTGCATTACCCCAGACTTTATCTCGGCTTACCCAAAATTAAGCATATTTTTGAAAAAATACCCTAAACAAATTCCTATAAAAATCACCCACCTTTATAGAGCTAGTTGACCTCCGGACTGACAACTCACTTTTTATAGGCGACAAACATTGTTTTCTTGCATTGCAAATTCCAAAGAAAAGACAGTTGGAGTAAGTTGACACAAAAATTGTGAAAAAGTTTTAAATTATCTAACCGCCATAATACCTTGTATCATAGGTAATGATAGTCTAAAATTTAAGTTATTTTTTACTATTGAATAAAGAAAGAAATCCCTTTACTATTGAATAAATGGGGTTCAAGTGTGTATGATGCGCAACACATGACTATCTATAAAAGTCACTTAGCCTCTCTCCACCAACTTCACTCCCAGCCTACATGAGGGTTCACCTGATACGTCGAGTAACCTATCATCAAGATTGTGGTAACCAACCCCTTTTGAGATATAGGTCGACAAGCAGTTAGGGAGTTAGGGGGCCCGGATCTTATAAGTTACACAATCCGGGTATCAGATGCTGGCAGTAGGGCGTTGTGATTATCATAACTACATCACTGCGGTGCAGAAGGAAAGGGGAAGCCACTGTACTACAAATCCCAGGAAATCTCTATGAAAGATGCAAGATAGGGACACGACCTTCAGCAAAGAAGAATGCGACCAAGAAAAAGAATCGAATAAAAAAGAAAGCTACAGCTGCTTTGGGGCCGTCAATTAATCACGTGACGTTTTTTTTCAGCAATATTATCCCTCCTCCCTCCCTCTTGGTGATACATGGTTTAAGACTATTACCCCCTACATCCAAATCACGTGTATTTTTTAGTACCTACAAAAAATCTTTCTTTCTTTCTTCTTTTATTAATGGCTTATCTGTACAAAAAATCTTAATGGCATAAATTGTACGATCTAATTGTCAATTCATAATTTTACACCAAAGAGAAATGAATTGTCAGTGTTGTATGGATCTGATAACTCGGATTAATATCGAGTTGAAATTCAATTAGTTTGAGTTACGCAAACGCAACTCGATTATTTTTATTTGTGTAAAGAATTATGTAAGATTTCTGATATTATAATGGTAAGTGACTTCTTAGTCTAATTAAGTCACATTTCAAAAAGACGTCCCTTTGAAATACAAGATCTCCCGCTTTAGTTTTGCGAACCGTTGGCAAAGTTTTCGACTTTCACAAGTACTGTTACAGCAAAAACTGAATTGATTTTGATATTTATATTAATATAATTTGACGTGTGGACGTAATGGCACATATGGAAATACTGTCCATAAAAAAAACAAGCAGAATTCTGCGCTCCGCTTTTTGTTCTTTCTTGAGTCCAAACCTGAATTCGGATGAATCAATTCAATTGAGTTACGAGCAACCAATAAGTTGTCTCATCACCAGTGGTCGGAATTAGGTAGAGTTATTCATGTACTTACACTGATTTCATACAGCGAAAGAATAAAGTGGATATGCCGCAAATCCCGAGACTAATTTTAAAGAGTAGAAAAAATCCCGTGATTTTATAAATAAAAAGTTATTTACTTTTACACAATTTAAACTACTGCAAGCACGACGTTGCCAAACTTACATCAATGACATCGGATGTCCAAAGTTGCAAAATACCAATACGCGCGATGTTGCCACATTTGTAGTTCGCACAACATAGCTTGTGAGAACAAAAGAATACAATAGCGCAAATGCGGAGCACTCCCTACTTAACGTAATGTACTAGATTGTGTCTCTTTCTACAGCATTCAAACTATCTAAATCCCGGGAATGTTGATATTAATGTGGACCATTAATATCAACATTTCGATGTAAGTACATAAATAACTCTACCTAATTCCGACCTCTGCTCATCACTAATGTTGACATAAGTATAAACCAAACATTTTTCCTTTATATGTAACAATAAATAAACTCATTTTTGTTTTGGTATTATTCGATATCGGTAATCCGATATATCGTCGCATCCCTAGTCAGTATTTTTTTTTCTCTATCCGCTTCCGACATTATCAGTATACATACTTTACTCTTTGCATTGACATAAATAAAAGTAAATACTCTGTTATGTCCATAGATGATCAATGGTTGTCTGTGTTATTATTTCGATAAACAAGACGTTCGCCTGTCCCATGGACGAATTATAATACTACTACAAACAAGACGTTCGTTCCAGAAAACTAAACTGTGAACTTTAGGAAGTGCATGGAAGAAATTTAATTAAATATACTCTTCTACTTTTAGAAAAGTGTAATAGCAAACGTAGTTTCAATTTTCTTTGGTGCAATATTGTTCCGCAAGTGGTCTGTGTTCGCTTGCGCCGATTGCGTTCTGTGCTTTATTAATTAGTAAACAAAGACGCCATTCATTAAAAAGAAGAAGAAGAACGCTTAGCTCACAAAAAACTGGTTTATTAGCCGAAACAAGAAAACCCCACAATATGTCCAGAGTTTTGCTGATAAGACATCTTCCAAAATCACTATCTATCAATGAAAAGGAACAACTTCTCAAACATTTTGGTGCAGTGAAGGTATGGGAAAAATCTGAAAGACATAACTATGTATTCGCTTTATTTCCAAACATAGAAACGGCTAAATCTTCTCTAATTAGACTCCATCAACTTGAGATAGCACAGCGGAGGCTTGTAGTTGAGTATTCCTTTGAAAGTGAACCTGCCATTTATAAAAATGATGTAAATGAAACAAATTCATTTGCAACTGAAAAACTAAAAAAATTTCTTCAATTGCTTAATGCTTGGAATCCATCAGTTAATTTTTACCAACCTCCACCTGTACATTTGAAATATAAATATCCAGAGCCAAATCCAGACATATTAATAAATATTATATATACATTATTACATCATAAAGCCTTTTATACTCAGGTATTGCATTTGATGAATAAAATGTCTCTCAGTACACCATTTCAAGAAAATGAAACTGCAATTACATTGTTTAAAGAAACATTTAAACATGTATTTAGAGATGAAATAGCTGCTATACCACCACCAGCAAGTGAAACAGAGTCTGAATTGTCAAGTGATGAAAATGAAAAACAAATATATACACCTGTTCCCAAAGCTGTGAAAAGGTTACATAAACTACCAGTCACAAGGAAAAGGCCAGCAGCCATACTGTCTACTGCTATTTTACCTAAAATAAGAAAAGTTGCTTTGAGTCAAGAAGAGGTGTTTGAAAATATTGCACCATTGTCAGAGCCAAAAAAAATTGCTGTAGTGGTTAATCAAGATGCGCTGACTAAACCTTCAGAAGAACCAGAAATATTAGGAGAGCTAGGAAAATTTGAGAAAGAAGTACAGCCGATTTCAGCAGAGGATACAGCAGAAGAAAGTGAATTACCTACAATAACTAGAAAAGAATTACTTCAAAATAGGCTTAACTATAGTGATATGAAAATATTGTCTGTATTTAAGAACTATCATCCTGGACAGCCCTCAATGAGGTTATATATAAAGAATTTGGCGAAATCTGTAATAGATCAAGATGTAAAGCGAATTTACAGACATTATGTAAGTGAATTACCAGAAGAAGAACAATTAGGTTTTGATGTTAGAGTAATGCAAGAAGGCAAGATGAAAGGGCAAGCATTTGTGACATTTCCTTCAATTAAAATAGCAGAAGTAGCATTGAATGAGACCAATGGATACATTTTAAAAGAAAAACCCATGGTTGTGCAGTTTGCTAGAGTTGCAAATAAAAGAATTGTTGAATGACAATGTTTATTTCTTAAATATTCCTTCCCTTAAAGAAACTATTATATTTGCATAATTTCAATAGTATATGGTAATAAATCATCATTGTCTTCAGTTACAACATTCCCAGTTAAAAATTTATTCAATAATGGCATCATCTCATTTATGGTATCCAATTGACTCAAAATTCTTTTGACAATATTATTAGTATTTTCTAAAACATTCGTGATTTTTTCATCTTTTGTTATTAAAAACTGTTGATAAAAGGCATCCATGAGTAATGAATACCAGTCAAAGAGTTTGCCCTCATAATCAGTATCTAATTCACTTTTCACATCAACTAATAAAAATGAAATGTAAGACATTAAAAACAAGGTGTCATTTATGGATAATGATTCTCTTAAATATGGAATCAGTAGAGCATCACAAAATGATATTCCAAATATATGATTTAGCAGGGTAAATTTGTCTTCTGCATCTAAATTGCATGCACTAGAGTGCCATTTAGCAAATTCATCAGGACTACTAACATTAGCATCCTTAGCAGATACCAACTTCAGAACATAATTAAGCAATTGTACCAGAACTGCTTCAGGTACATCTTTGAATTCTATAATGACTTTTAATACACTTTTATGATCAGTTTTTTCTAGGAGTGGTAATATCACTTGTGCACATATACTCCTTTCAGTCAGCCCTAGTTTTATAAGTTCTTTAGTATCATCACTGGTAGAACAAGATACCAGTGTTGTTGTATTATCCCAATTGGCAACTTCTAAATATTCATCTTGTCCAATTTCATGAGATCCTAATAAACTGGATATGTTTCTTTTTGTTTCCAATACATAAGGCAACATACCAATATGGTTAGAGGCTTCCAAGATGATGCGATCATTAAAGCAGTAAAGTCTGGCTCCCTCTGTATACATTTTCATTGGGTATTTACATGAACCCACACCAAGAGCTATATTGTAAGCAACAATTATAGCTCCATCTTGTTCAATGTTACTCCCAAAGAGTATGAGGTGGTTCTTCCCCATCCAAGCAACAGAAACACTGGATACTGTGGATATCCATGGCACAGAGCCTACTGTTTTCCAAGATTTTTTCAACAGATCAAATGTCATAATTTTTGAGTCACTCCCTAAAATAAAAATAATAATAAATGTTTTAATTTTGAATGCTTCATTGGCCATACAAGCTACAATTACCCTAACTTGCAAAAAATACTACTTACACAACACATAAACTGCAGGTCTGTCTATACAACTGATTAGCTCCCCGACAACGTATACATTTTCCTTTCTTGATATTTTAATTTTAGTAATCTTTGACTTTTCCAAATCTCCAAGTTCTTCTCTTATGGGAGCACTAATAATCTCATATCTGTTTTTACCATCTTTTGTAACATAACATACATATCTAATATTGTTTAATGTATAACTTGATGTGTCCACTATGTTTTCATTTTCTTTTATCAAAGGTATATTTTCATATGTTTTGCGATTTTCAAGTGCATATGGCAGTGAAGCAGTGTTGCCATTTTCAAAAATAATAAGTGGAGATTTTAAAGGAGCTGCCATCAATTTTAGTATATTCACTGGAAACTAAAACATAATGTTTTAATAACATTACAAAAAATCATTATGCTAGATTTGGATTATGATAATGTTTATTAGGTTACCTTATATTTCTTTATTTTATCTAAATTTTCTGATTCATCTTTCCATATTTTAATGGTGTTTTTGTTAAAAACTCCTACATAAGTATTCTGTTCTTTGTCATATATTACTTCTGATGTGATATGGTCTTTTGAAGTCCAACCTCCCACTTGTTTTTGATCTGAAAGCTTTAAACCAATACATAAATAACTTTCATGGTTAAATGATTCACATGAATATTTATCAGTATATCATTGTGAATGCAAAATTGACCACACATAATAAATATATGTTTTAGGTTATGCAGAGTTGGTGGTATACACAACACAAAAACATTATCACTATGTTTTCTTTATTTTGTGCTTTTTTCTGAAAAAATATTATAAAATTGTATTCATTATGTATCAATTTAAAAGCAGTTTACAACTGATAATAATGACACATTTCTGACCATCAAAGAGTAAAAAAATAACCTACAATAATATAAATCCTGTGTATTGAAAACTAAAAACTATGATAAAATTAAAAAGTAGGTACATAAACTAATGGACAGACATGCACAAAGAATTAGATCAACTTACCCGGTATTTATTAATAACATTTCTTCCCAAAGTTACAATTACAAACTCAGGATCCTTGTCCTCAGATACTCCTAGGAAACTTTTTTGATCAATCAGAGGACATAAAACAAAATAACTATGTAATTTAGCCATGGAACCCTTTAATCTTATTGAAATTCACTGAATAATACAGACAAAAGGAATAGAAATCAAATTATTGTTCTCATTCGAGTTTAAAAAAAAATATTCGGTCTAGGAAACAGCACAAAACAATAAGGTAGGGATGTTCAAATATCGTCGATATATCGAAAGTACTCGATGTTTCCATACGATATATCGGATTGTTTCGATGTTTTGAAAAATAATTTTCTATTCGATATATCGAATATCGATACATTTATAACACAATATCGAATCGATTAAATAACGTTGACAGCTGACTTATGATGACAATAAAAGCTAAAGTAAATTTTAACATTACAACATTTTCACTTTGATTTTTATAACATGACATCAAATTTTCAGACGTCCTAGGGCGAGTTGTACTCGGTAGCTAAGTCTTGCCAAGCCAATTGTTAATCTTTTGTTGTAGCCCCATCTGTTTTCTTGTTTTCTATAATAAGATATTTCTCCACTTATTTTAAAAGGTGCATTTTTCCAGCAATAGTGAAATTAGGTGCCCTGGATCTTTTCATTATTTTAGTTCGGCAGTACAAACGGTTTATTGGTATTTTTGAGTTATTAATAAACAGTTTTACTCTACTTTATGAATAACTACGAATGATGAAATGGCGCGGCGACTTCAAAAAAATGTATGTTGATATAGAGTTTTGATAAAAACGATGATGACGTTTGTTTTTCTAAACTGATTTTATGGCGCCGGACTCTAGTCTTTTCATCAAAAACGGAACATAAGGAATGAATGGTGAACGAATAATATGCTAAATCTCGGTTTAGTTAAACTGGTCATGATTTTAGGATCTGCAAGATAACTTAGTTAGATTTAAGTTAAGTCGAGTTTAAGGCTAAGTCTGGATTTAATTAAATCGAGATTTTGGAAATTTTACTGCAAGTGGGCCTAAAAAAGGAAAACATTGAAATTTTCAAAAATACTCGATATTTAAAAAGTATCGATGTTTTTATACGATATATCGAAAAACATCGATGTCAGTAACCGATATTTTATATCGAGTATTTATATCGATATATTTTCAAGTGGACACCCCTACAATAAGGCATGGCGATCTGAGATCAATGAGGAAGTATTTAAAAAATAAAAACTAGTTATTGAAATACTAGATGTCACCCGCGAAGTTTGGAATTTGTTTATGATATTCATTTAAATTTTCATTCTGACGTAATAAAGTAAATTGAGTATCGAAAATTAATAAATATGACATAGTTTTGTGTTTCTTATAATATCTAACTTTCAAATCAATTTTAGTTTAAGTTGTTTATTATGTTACGTACTTGAACTATACTATATTAGAGGAAATCTAACGACCTAACGCACATAACAACTAATATGAATTTCCCTAGTTCTGTTTACTCAATCAAGACTGAAACATTAACTTTAAAACAAATTATTGACAAAAATAAAGAACTTTTTGATGATAGACTATTACAAAATTATGAGATCAACATTTTCATCAAACCGGGAACTGATTTCATCACATCAAACATTTCACTCCATTGTAATCCAAACAGCATGGGGTTAGCACAATCAATAACGACTACAGGGAGTATCCTTTGTTTGCCGTCAACTTCTACCGTAACATCGGTAAGACTTTTAGGTTTTAATCTGTGGTCACCATAGGCACGCAATTTTGGTCCCTTCACTAACTAAAAATGCTATGCTTATGATTGAATAAATTGATCTTGGGTCCCAATCCATTGTTAATGCTTTGCCATTTATATGAATGTCAATTTTCTTACACCTCATGTTATGTACGTTAATTTTGTGTATTCTCGAATCATCATCACTGTTACTATCAGTATCGTTATTATCATAAAAGTTATGTTCCCCTGATATCACGTCGTTTACTTCTCTTTTATTTGAAATATTGCCTTTTATCTTTGCTCTCTCAGATTTTAAACAACAGCTCTCAAAATGACCTTTTATGTTGCATGCCTTGCAAATGTAAGAGATTGCGGCACAATCGTTTAATGTGTGTTTGTCTGTTACTGTTAGAGCAAGGAGTTTTTACTCGTGTATAAAATACTTTTTTAGAACAATTTTACTCTTCTATTTTATTTGACACAATGTTTATTTTTGTGATTAGCTGTCCATGCCTATTGTTTTCTTACTTCTATTTTGATGTTCTTGCAAACTATAAATAAAATTCTCAAAATCTTTATTTAACGTGTTTGCATATGCATAGTATCCACTTTAAATATATTTGAAACATTGGCGGCCCAGTATTGGGGTTCACCAATAGGTTATAAGGCCTGTGCACATATTATGTGCACATCGCAGAGGGTGTTGAAAATTTAGACCCTGGTAGAACTCAAGACAAGCATCAAAAATGGCAAGTCATAGTGGTTTAAGCATGCCACCAATGGCGAGACTAGAGGGCAGTTCAAATTATGCGACGTGGAAAGTGCAAATTGAAATGGCACTTGTCTACGAAGATCTATGGGACTACACTAGTAAGGAGCCAATCAAAACTGATGCAGCAGCTGTAAAGGCAGATAGAAAAGCTAGAGCCAAGATAGGTATGATGTTGCAACCGGAATGTCTTGTGCACATACGCTCTGCGAAGACAGCTAAAGAAGCTTGGGAGAATCTAAGCAAGACGTTTGAAGATAAAGGCGTGAACAATCGCTGCCGCCTTCTATCAAGACTGGTCAGTCTAAAATTGGAACAATTTTCGACGGTACGGGCGTACGTCACAGGTGTGTTGACAATAGCCCAGGAGCTAAGAGATATAGGAAAAGAAGTGGACGATGAGCTTTTAGCTGCCCTTCTCCTACAAGGCCTTACGCCTGAGTTCCAGCCTTTGAAAATTACGATTGAGAATAGTCAGACTGCACTAACGTCAGATTATGTAAAGAATAAACTGTATCAAATGGAGGATACGTACAATGACTCAACAAGTGGAAGTCAAACGTCAACATCAGCATTACTGACAAAGAAGAAAGGAAACAGAAATAGCAAGGGCAATACTAGCAAGCCAGATAAGAAACAATTGAAATGCTACATCTGTGATGGCCCTCACAAATATTATCAGTGTCCAAACAAGGAAAATTCAAAGAGGGAAGTCATCAAGCGTTTGCCTTCGGAACAACATTGAAGTCTGAACCTGGAGAAGATTGGGTGATCGATTCAGGAGCTTCGACGCACATGACGAAGAACAAAGCTTGGATGAAAGATATATCGAAGACTGCTAGACCTTTGAAAGTTATGTGTGCGGATGGAAATGAGGTGCTGGGTGAAAGTGTCGGTAAGGTTGTGACTGATAAGATGACGGTAAGCGATGTTACTTATATTCCAAATTTAGCTTCAAACTTGTTGAGTGTGAATGCTTTAACTAAGAAAGGCTATGTTTTAATGTTTATAGAGAAAGGATGTGACATTTTTAAAAGTAATGGATGTGAAGTCTATGGTGAATATGTTGGATCAGGTGTAGAAGAACGAGGTATTTACAAAATCAAAGACTGTTTATACGGTTCTGCACTAGCAACAACGGAAGGTGAGCAGAACAATCAGATTTTATGGCACAGAAGAATGGGCCATCTAGGCGAAAGAAATTTAAAATTACTGAGGGACAAGATGGAAATTGAGGTGAGTTTTCCAAATTGTAATTGCAAACTTGAATGTGTTTCTTGTATAACGGGAAAACAAACGCGGCAACCTTTCTCTAAAAACGGTTCGAGGGCAACTGAAATTTTAGGGATAGTACACTCGGACGTGTGCGGTCCTATGCGTGTACCCTCTGTTAGTAAGAACTTTTATTTTGTAACGTTTATTGACGATTTTACGCGCAAGACTTTTGTATATTTTTTACAACAAAAGAGTGAAGTTTTTGAAAAGTTGAATGAATTCAAAACTTACGCTGAAAATGAAACGGGCAAGAAGAATAAGATACTGAGATCGGACAACGGTACAGAGTATGTCAACAAGAAGATGGATGACTTCCTGAAAGTGAACGGGATTCATCATCAACTGACTGTTGACTACACGCCAGAACAAAATGGAGTCGCGGAGAGGTCTAATCGCACAATTTGTGAGAAGGCAAGGAGCATGTTGCATGATTCCGGACTACCACAGCGGTTTTGGGCGGAAGCTGTCCATCATGCAGTATACCTGAAAAACAGATCACCGACCATTGCGGTGAAGAATATGACACCAGAAGAAAAATGGAGTGGGAACAAGTGTGATCTGAGCAAGATTAGGATCTTCGGATGCAAAGCATTTATGCATATTCCGAAACAGAAGCGTACCAAATGGGATACAAAGAGTATAGAATTGATTCATACTGGCTTCTGTGACAACGCAAAAGCATACCGCCTTATAGAACCTGCAACAGGGAAGCAATTCAAGGCTAGAGATGTAGTTTTCCTGGAAAACTGTAAATATACAGACTCGGAACCATCAGGAGCATCTGAAGTGGAGTTTATGATGTTTCCTGAAAATGAGCAAAGAAATGGAATTGTCGATTTACACACGCCTCCAGAACCAGATGCCAACGGAGATCACAATAGAAACTTGGATGTGGAAGTGATAGTTTGAATCAGAAAACCCGACATCTGAAGGAGATTGTGGTGGCTCAATATCTGAAATAGAGGAACGTGATGTAACAGATATTGAACCAATTATCCTGGAACCAGAACCTGAAGTCGCAGGACCAGATGCTGAAATATTTGAAGACTGCGAATCAGTTGACGTTCCTGAAAATGTTCAACAGGAAAATGAAAGGAGATATCCACTGAGGGATAGAAAACAAAAGGAGTTCCCTGACTACATCTTATATCAAGCTGAAGTGGAACGAGATCCATTGACAGTGCGCGAGGCACTATCAAGATCAGACAGCGAAAAATGGAAACAAGCAATTCAGGAGGAGCTTGATGCGCTGAAGAAAACTGGGACATGGACTCTCGTAAAGCCGCAAAAGTCGTCCAACGTCGTTGATTCTAAATGGCTATTCAGAATCAAAGAAGATGCGGGAAATAGACACAGATATAAAGCACGACTTGTTGCAAGAGGATTTAGTCAACGGTATGGAGTAGATTATGATGAAACCTTCGCACCAGTAGTGAGACACAGTTCTCTACGAGTACTTATTGCTCAGGCTGTGAAACAAGATTTAAGCATTGATCAAATGGACGTGAAGACAGCATTTCTAAATGGGGAACTTGATGAAACTGTCTACATGAAACAACCGGAAGGATTCGAAGAAAAAGGAAAGGAAGATCATGTTTGTCTACTGAAACGTTCATTATACGGATTAAAACAAGCTCCAAGAGCGTGGAATACTAAACTCAATCATGAGTTATTAAAGTTGGGATTCAGGAGATCTAAAAATGAACCTTGCGTGTACACTAGATCTAAAGGAAATGTTGTGATCATATTAGCGGTTTATGTCGATGATATGTTAATTTTTTGGAATGATGAAGATGAACTACGCAAAGTTAAGAGGGATCTTATGTCAAAGTTTGACATGAAGGACTTGGGCCAAGCGGAACTGATCCTGGGAATGCAGATTACTCAAAGTGATTTAGGGATCAAAGTGGATCAATCAAAGTATATCAACAAGGTGTTGAAGAACTTTGGAATGAAAGACTGCAAGCCAGCTGCTACACCTGCGGTTACAGGTTTAAATCTAAGCAAGCCTGGACCGGAACATAGACCTGATCCTGACGTGCCCTATCGGAATGTGATAGGCTCATTAATGTATTTGGTTGTATGTACAAGACCAGATATAGCATACGCTGTAAATTATTTAAGCCAGTTTAATAGCCATTATGCTGAAGAACACTGGATGGCTGCAAAACGTGTGCTAAGATATCTTCAAGGAACCAAATACTATGGACTTATGTATAAGAGAAGTGTATCAGATGAAATACATTGTTATGCGGATGCAAGTCATGCTTCCTGCTATGATAAGAAGTCATATTCAGGAGCAGTATTTATGCATATGGGAGCTGCTGTCAGCTGGGAAAGCAAAAAGCAGAAGACCGTTGCATTATCAACAGCTGAAGCGGAATACATTGCAATGTCTGAAGCTGCTAGAGAGGCAATTTTTACAAAAAGATTTGTGGCTGAAATAATTGGTAAGGAGGAGATGCCAATTAAGATATTCAGTGACAGTTAATCAGCCATTGCAATCGCGCACAATCCTGTGCATCATCAGCGTACAAAACACATTGCAGTACGTCATCACTTTATAAGGGAAGCAGTTGAGCATGGGCATATTGAGTTAGAATATGTACAAACTGAACGCATGGTTGCTGACTCTTTGACTAAACCTTTGTTGAAAGGTAAGTTTGAGTGGTGTACGTCAAGTATGGGTGTTGTATGGGTATGATATGAGTGTTGTATGAATAGGTATGGAATAAAAGAGATAAAATTGAGGAGGAGTGTTAGAGCAAGGAGTTTTTACTCATGTATAAAATACTTTTTTAGAGAAATTTTACTCTTCTATTTTATTTGACACAATGTTTATTTTTGTGATTAGCTGTCCATGCCTATTGTTTTCTTACTTCTATTTTGATGTTCTTGCAAACTATAAATAAAATTCTTAAAATCTTTATTTAACGTGTTTGCATATGCATAGTATCCACTTTAAATATATTTGAAACATTGGCGGCCCAGTATTGGGGTTCACCAATAGTTACACCACATCTTTTACAATGATTTTTTTAACACTCGTTGTTTGTAACTTCTTAAAAATCGTTTGTTTACGTTTCCTTACTGAATGCGGTGTACGTTATCGGAGTTACAAGGAGTATCGTTTTCTGCTAATTCTCTTGATTGTGCAATGTTAAAAATCTGTTCAAATGTTATTTCTACCGTTCTTCCAACATTGTCATGCTCTTATAAGTCCGGCTATTTTTGTTTCAAATCTATCTGTAGTGTTTCATGGTTAAGACCTGTTGCAAAACGGTCACGCAGTTGACGTTCTAAGAAGTGACCTTCATAACCGCTGTCTTTACTTAGTTCTTTGATTTTGTTGGCGTATGTTTCCATGGATTCACCTTCCTTTCTCGTGCATTTCCAGAATTCAGTAAGAGCTTTGAATCTTGTCTTTTTTATTGCATAAAAACTGTATAATTTTGTTTTGATTTCTTCATACGAACGTTCATGAAAATCCGACAAGAATGTTTTTTATTTTATGAAATATATCCGGTGGCAAACAGATAAGAAAAATGTCTTTCTGTATTTTCAGATATTCTTGACCATAAATGTTACATTTTTCTTCAAAGTATTCAATAAATTCACTCACCCTTGTTTTTTCAGGGTTAAATTTATCGTTTGCAAAATGGCTTATTTTTTTACATTTGTCATCATCATTGTTCAATGATTTTGTTTCTGTTTTTTGTTGTGTTTGAACTGCTAAAATGCGTAGTATTTCAGTCAGTTAATTTTGTTGTTTTAAAAAAGCGTTAAATTGGTTCGCATCCATTATTATTAAACTCGTCGCCAATTGATATAATTAAAAATACATGTGTAAGATCAAGCATTTTTTAATTAATGACGTCTTTTTGTTCTACTCTTTGTCACTGACATTTTGAAACTATTAACATAGAGATAAATAAAACTAAACCTCTAGCAAAGAGGTTCAACGTTATAACAGTTTCCATTTTCCTATCCTTTACAAATAAAAAAGAGATTTATTCAAGATTACTACATAGTAATCGAGTTTCGTTTGCATAACTCGAACTAATTAAATTTCAGCTCGATTTTAATACGAGTTATCAGATCCATAACAACACTTTTCACGTCATGAATTGACGTTTAGCTCCAACAATTTGTGCTGCCATCTAGTGACATCAATTTTTGTAGTATCTCAATTTTTAATAATTTCTTCATAATAAATGCAAATTTCAAAATTGTAGGTCACAGGTTTTACAAATGAGCGGTATAGATTAATAACTTAGATAGTGGCAAGGGAATCAACACGCTGCACCGAGTTTTGCGAACACGAACGCATAAAGACTCGAGCGATATTATTTTTTTATATAAGTACGAGTTTGCAAATTTCATTGGAGTGACTCGAGTCGCATCACTAATATCTGTCATTCATTTGTCATTTGAGGGCCTCTTTCTGGGGGCGATAAAGTCTCCGAAGTTTACCACATGCGAATTACATCATCATTGATTTGATAACGACTGCTAAACTCAATCGCTCTATCCTCTGCAATTAAATATTTCAACGACAGCTGAAAAGAAAGACGTATAATGAGTACAACTGGAAAAGTAATAAAATGCTTAGCAGCCGTTGCCTGGGAGGCCGGCAAACCTTTATCAATCGAAGAAATTGAAGTAGACCCACCCAAAGCCGGTGAAGTTCGTGTTCAGATTAAAGCCACCGGCGTCTGTCATACCGACGCGTACACATTGTCAGGAAAGGATCCAGAAGGTGTATTTCCTGTTGTTTTAGGCCACGAAGGTGGTGGTGTCGTTGAAAGTGTCGGTGAAGGAGTCACTTCCGTAAAACCTGGTGATCATGTCATTCCACTTTACATCCCACAATGTAACACATGTAAGTTCTGTTTAAGTTCTAAAACTAATCTGTGCCAGAAGGTGAGAATCACACAAGGCCAAGGTGTAATGCCTGATGGTACCAAGAGACTTCACTGCAAAGGTCAAGACTTGTACCACTTCATGGGATGTTCTACTTTTAGCCAGTATACTGTGGTTTTAGAAATTTCACTCTGTAAAGTTAATGAAACTGCTCCATTGGATAAAGTGTGTTTATTGGGTTGTGGAATTCCAACTGGATATGGTGCAGCACTGAATACAGCCAAAGTGGAGCCTGGCTCCAGTTGTGCAATTTTTGGCCTTGGAGCAGTAGGCCTGGCTGTAGCTCTTGGATGTAGGATGGCTGGTGCTAAACGAATAATTGGAGTAGATATCAATCCTGCAAAGTTTGAAGTTGCTAAAAAGTTTGGTGTCAATGAGTTTGTCAATCCTAAAGATTACGAAAAACCAATCCAAGAAGTGCTTGTTGGCTTGACTGATGGTGGATTAGATTACACATTTGAATGCATTGGTAATGTGAATACTATGAGGTCTGCTCTGGAAGCCTGTCACAAAGGTTGGGGTGTTTCAGTTATCATTGGAGTAGCTGGTGCTGGTGAAGAAATCAGTACCCGACCCTTCCAGCTAGTGACAGGTCGTACCTGGAAGGGGACTGCATTTGGAGGTTATAAGAGCCGTGATAATGTACCAAAGCTGGTTGATGAATATCTCTCTCAAAAGCTGCCAATTGATGATTTTGTGACTCATAATGTTCCATTGAAAGAGATAAATGAAGCATTTCATTTGATGCACTCAGGTCAAGCTATTCGTGCTGTTGTACATTTCTAAATTGAATGTTACATCTTAATGTTAACTATTAACAAACAAACATATGGTACAAAGTTGTATGTATAAATAAAAAATATTTTAGATTTTATATTATTTGAAAAATTGTTTTTTTTTTTTGTACAATAAGATTAATAATTGAGTAAGAGCAGTGGTTCACCAACTTTCGTGTCTAATATCACTTTCAAAATTTACTACTTTTTGTGCCCTACTGTTGTTACATTTGTCCCATTGTTAAACTCATTGTCTGTTTAGTTTCATGTGGACTAATACATCTACATGGGATTGTGCCTGATATTATTTAGGTTTACTTTATTGTATTGAATAAAATTCAACAATTCTAAAACATGGATTCAATAAAATTATCCAATACAAATATAGGTATTTTTTCCATGAAATATACATTACAATATTTACAATTTTATGACAATATATTTTTTACTTAAACAATTAAAAAATTATAAACAGTCAATTATTTCTTTAACATGAGTAACATTTACAACAATAAATAAACAGTAACACTTAATTAATTAAATTTCATATTAAACACTATGTACCACAAATATACTATTTAGACTTTCTTTATATCGCTCATAAAACTTTGTGCTTTCAGTATTCTAAAATTATGTTGCTTGTTCCAATGTCAACTGTCTGTAATATTCGTTATAGATGTCACATTGTTCACCTGCAAACAAAAACCCCATTTAAATAATGGCAATATTACGGCTGCGAGACAGACAAGAGTTACATTTAAGCTGTGCTGAATACTGACAGAAATATTTTACACTAGTTCTCCACCAGTGGTTTCCTCCGAGTGGTCCTGTATTGTAATTAGGTATCCTTACCCTTCAATCACTCTATATATCATCAATAAACAGCATTAAAATCCGTTGTGTAGTTTAAAACATCTCAGTGTACAGACAGCAGGAAGCAATGAAAATTGGACTTTGAATGTGTACTTCAAACACATTACTTAGTTACATATATACCTACATGTGCAAAAAATAGTGAATATACTAATTGCACTAAAGAGCACAGATTTGATTATTTGTTTGTTTGCATTGAATAGGCTCCGTAATTACTGACTTGACCTACGAGAAGGTACTTTAATTTATGTGGGTGAAGTCGCAGGAAAATAGTATCTACATACAAATTCAGAAATGAGAAGGCACCGAGATGTTTCTCGCATAGACTTCGGGTCGTGGGCCGATATAACCTTGATAAAATAATTGCTATTTTAATTTGGTACGCCATAAAGGTTATTTTGAGTCGTTATTTTATAAACCTGTTTTGTGATTAGTTGTTTGTTGAAACATTTAACTAAATCTAAATATCTAACTTAAATTAAATCATAGGTACCCAAACTTTATTTTCAGTGGACCACCTTTAAAATTGTACTGGTTATTTGAATCCTACATTTATAGCATAACTATATCCATGGATCCCTGGGATCGTCCCTCGGATAGTCAGGGGAATAATTTTAAATTTTATATTAAATATCAATAAAATTAAAATTCCCATAAATTGATTTTATAATCTACTAGCATTAGCATGATGCCATTTTTTTATTTTTTATAATTATAGCAAATATTTAAACATGCTAAAAGGTTTATCATAGTTAGGTATTATTTATCTTGACCACAAACACATTATGATTATTTATGATTCAAGGTCATTTCAATTAACTTTTACTATATCAAAAGCGATTTAGATACATCGCTAATTATTTGAAAACACGTCGACGCCAATATACTTATGTGAAGCATGAAGCTATTGATGAGTTTTAATGTACTGCAGTCTTTATTGGAATAGGTTATCGGACGGTCAGTTTCTATGCGTAAACTAATTCTTATCATTAAAATTATTGTTACAGCTTTGTACAGATAAAAAGTGATATGATATCTGCTTCGCCTCAGATTTCGTAACATTTATTTTTTCACCTATATAATACAAAAAACATTTTGAAAAATGATGTATCAAAAATTTTAGATGGGTTATCTGCGCACAACATTGACAACAAGAAAGCAAAGCAATTCCTGAGTTTCACTTTAGTCACGTTTCAACAATGAGATTAATAACTAGAGAAGCAATCCCAGACGCGCCAAAAGTGTAGCACTTTTCTGAAGTCAGGACGTAGCTTTGCAAATAACATTTATACTATATAATATAAACAGGTTTAGTATGTTTGCCTCTCCCACATCTACGATTAAACTATAAATTATACAAAGACAGAACATGTACAAACGACAGAATTAACGGAAAAATGGGTAATTGATACTGTAGCTGTCGAAAATTTAACATGCAGATAGACGTTATGACGCATCCGCTAAGAAAGGATTTTGATCAATTCTATTAATCTAAATATATATAACTCAAAGGTGACTGACTGACATAGTGATCTCTCAACACACAGCCCAAACCACTGGACGGATGGGGTTGAAATTTAGCATGCAGCTGTTATGACGTAGGCATCCGCTAAGAAAGGATTTTGATCAATTTTACCCACAAGGGGATAAAATAGGGGATGAAAGTTTGTATGAAACTTTGTCAATTTTAAACCGATCGGGCTGTGAGACGTTGCATGCATAAAGCTACTATGACGTAGGTATCCCCTAAGAAAGGATTTTGATAAATTCCACCTCTAAGGAGATAAAATAGGGGATGACACTTTATTTCAGGTATTTTACTCGATATAATGAATAAATATTCGTTACAAATGCTGCTCAAACTAACTTTACCACGCGGACGAAGTCGCGGGCAAAAGCTAGTATAGATATAAGTATAAAATCAATTATTAAAATACTGTAACTTTGAAAATTTCTTTAATTCAAAATCGCTGTCTTTTATAATTTTTCCCTTTGACACTAATAGAAGACCTAGAAAAAAAAACTAGTTTAATAAATGATAAAAAGGGAATTTAAATTATGGGAGAATAAAATTAGTATCCGATACTTATTCCCGATTTGTAATTTTATCGCATTTTATCTCGTCAAACTTTTCAAATTTTAAAGCAGTTATCCTCAATCGGTTAAGCTGAAAATTATTTAGTTTAGGACACATATTTAGTTATATAAGGGGCGCCCTAAATGCGACTTAATATTATATCAATAATGAGAGGATGCTGAAAAGAAAATTTTGTACACTTTCATGATATGAATTGGATTGAACTTATTGTCTCTTAATCTATATACAGTCTATATAGTTTTTAAGTTTTCATCATGTTTTTAAACAGCAACTATGAGCACGGTTATGAACAGGGATTCTTCATCTGAAAACCTTACCAGCAGTTGTAAGATATAACAATATAAACTTTAATCTATAATGTTCAATAGTAGAATTAAAAGCAAAATTAATGTATACATAATTGAAGCACTTTAGAAACGGCGACTTGACCAACGTGCACCAAAAGAAGGGGGAGTGGGGACACTCCCTTCCTATCATACACCAAAGAGCAGAGAAGCATAGTTAAGAAGAAAAAAGATAAAGAATATTTACTACCATGTCATCCAGATAATAAATATTTAGACCTAATTTTATAGACATTAAAGTTTCTTTTTCTCGTGAAATATAATAAACGAAAGTAGGAAGACTTAAAAATCTTTACTCTTATTTTATTTGAAAAAAAAAAACAAAAATAATTCTTCGACGTTTGTCATTGTTGTTGACTCTTTAAAAAAAAACGATTTTTGGTCTGTATTACTGATTATTAGTCTCTCTAAAGACCTCGATCGGCTCAAAGCTTGACATTTAGCAATAATTCGCGAACTTAAGTCAACCACCGCGCGGTCTAGTTGTTCTTGGCACTTAAAAGCTAATCATTTGCGAACGGCTATATTTAATATACCTATACTATATCTAATAACGGTCTTCGCACACTTCTAATATTTTTGAAAAACCTATCCATCAATTATCCCACATTATAGGGAAATCGAAAAAAAACCTACTTTGCATGTAGGGAAGGTACCCTAAAAAATAATTTTGATTACTGTTATGTGTTTAGTGACACTCGCAAGGCAAATCGATTGACGTCTTAATCGTATGTAAAGTATTTTTATTAAGGTACCGCATTTTAAAGGTTCAAATAAAGTAGAGCAAACATAATCTGTTTGCCATGCCGTGCTGCCCCACATATACGCCTTAGGCGATAGGGGCGTAGCCAACTTTTTAAAAATATTTTTATTTTATATATATACACGAAATATATCTAAAAAAATATTCATATAATAAGTTTTAAAATAAATGTAATTATAAAAATTTCCCGCGAATACGCTACTTCTGTCATGGCGTCGCTATGACGTCAAGGCACTCTGAAACACATATCGGTCTATCTATGCATAAAGTTGAATTCTTTAAGTTCTGATATGAATAACAGGGTCGTAATGTCACGCGCTTTTTGCGGCCACGTGATTTTTCAGATATTTGTTTAATCCAAAATTAATTTAAGCAACATTATAATTATTAGATTTTTTAATTATACTGTGCTATGGATTTGAGAAAGCTTTGTTATGCGGCCGCTTTTAGGCTAGTTATATTTCGATTATGATGTGGTGAACGGTGTTGGTGTGCAATTATATCTCATCTGTTTGACTTTGTTAGTTTAATGTAAATTGTATCACTGTTTGTTTACCCGTGAAAATAAATAAAAAAAAAAAAAATTATAAATATAATAAGCATGAAAGTGTAATTATCGGTAATAATATATTAACGCTACCAGGAAAAAATAATATGTATTATATTTTCGTTTACTGTCTACACCCGTGTTGCCTAGTTGGTCTATATGGACGGGCCGGTCCAGCCTATATTGTTAAAGATTTTGTGTGGAAAGTTTTCAATAAACTTTCGAGCAGTGCATTATACCTGTCTTTAACTTTTTCATACTGTTTAATCGCTATTTGTTTACGGAAAACAAATAGCGAAAATATTATTAACACCAAACTCTACAGATTTCTGTTCATCAATTTACATGTTTCCGTATATTAATAGTTACATAAAGTGTGTTATTCTTCATTGTGCTATTTGTAATCAACAACAGATTTCAAAATGGAAAACAATTTTTATCAAATCGACTTTAGCTTACATTAGTCACATACTTAGGGCTTTTTTTATTGAAGTTGAATTTCAACAAAAACCATTCACATCTGAAAAATTAATTGGATGATTAAAAGCTTTTGCTGACCCAATCAAATAAGTTTCTATTGTAATTCATACCATTGTACACAGTGCTCAAGTATTACTATACGTAACCACAAGAGATATGAACTGATGAGAAAAAGGAGTGGTCTGAAGTACATGATCTCCGTCGTTACTAAAAGTTGGTGAAAATGGACGGGACATATAGCACGAATGGACAATACGAGGTTGACAAAACGTCTTCTGCACACGTAGCAAACGAACACGAGACGCAGGACTTTTGTTTGTAGATGTTTTGTCTACAAACAAAAGTTCTGCGCCCATACGATATATCACCCCCTACCAGAGAAAAGTGACTTTTGGTGTAAACGAAGTGGTTCCCGATTTAGTCATGCTATAAAGTGTGGCTTAGACGTCACGTAGGTCAAAACTGGTCGCCGAGAGTACAAAATCACCCAGCATACTGGGATATGGAAGAGGAATACTTTCGAGATTGTAACCAGGACGGCTGAATATGATGATGAAGAGTTGAGGTGTGTCGGCGCACTGTAATATAAGGGCTTTAGCTATTGGATCTATCACAAGCGTGCAGCGCGAGGATAACGGGCGGACAGGAGCGTGGTACCTGCAAGACAGGGTGGGGGCGGTGGCGCGGGCGCGCGGGGCGGGGTGTGCAGCGCGTGGTAGAGGGCGAGGAAGGCGGGCGGGGAGCGGGCGCGGGCGGCGGCTAGCAACTTGCGCGCGGACACGCGGTGCAGCAGCCCCGCGCTCCGCGCCGCCCCTGCAGCTGCCACCGGCTGTTCCCATCCCAGCAGCACCTCCACAATGTCCTGTGCAAAAAACCTACAATTCAATTCAAAACGTTCAGCGTTCGCTTATTAGATAGCGAAGCGTAGTTTTTCAACGGTTTTTCAACGGTTCAAGTGTTTTCGACAGAGTAGCCGATAAACAACGATGAACATGAACGAACGCGTACCTCGTGCCGGTTGAGCCTGGCCATCATGTCGAGTGCGAGCTGCAGATGTCCGAGCGCGAGCAGCTGGCAGGCGAGCGGCCTGGCGTCGCCGAGACAGCCGCGGCGCACGAGCGCGCGCAGGCGGCCGTGCTGGCCGCGCGTCACCAGCGCGCGCACGCACAGCTCCGCCACAGGGTGCTGCACCACCATGCTGTGCCGGCACAACGACGACAGGTAAGCCGTCACCACCTGACACACACAACCACTTAGAGGCTCCGATAGATAGAGTTCGTACGTGCAAACAGAGCTATTATCGTGTATATTTTAAATAATATTCGGTTGACTGATTTAGAAAGCTGGATAACGTAGTTTTGCACATTCACTAAGTAAAATCTGAGCATCGATTTAATGGACCTATCTTCTGATGATAATAAAAAAGCGAAATATACTTTGGATATCTATCATAGAAGAGGTCTTCCTTATGAAATATCTATCTACTTACACGTACAAACATACCCTCTCGGTAAAACATCATCGACTCGTTACCTGTACGAGTTGTGGCAGATGTGTGCGGGCGTGTAAGACACGTGTGCAGAGGTCCGCCTGCGAAATCAGCAGGGGCGTGCGCCCCGCATCGCGCGCCTCCGCCCCTGCCCCCGCCGTATTACGTGCCATTTCCCATTCGGCCCACTCTCTGTATGATCACAAAATACAATACTGTCTTTGCAGTCATCTATCTTAAACGAACTCCGTGGTTGGATGGCTGATAACCATCGTTGACGTTCCGGATTATATTCCCAATAGAGTCAATATAGAGGGCGAACTTTTCTATATTGTGTATGAGATGTTGTCTAACGCAAATGTGTTTTATTTACAGTAGTATAATAATAATAAAAAAGTGAAAAACAATAGTTATCTTAAAAGCGGCAATTTTTTTCTTTTAAACACTGAAGCCTGGTTGAGGTTTTTTGTAGTTAATTAAATATTATTCTTTAAAAAATCACCGCTTATAGACTAAGCTTTTTTAGCTTTTTAAAATTTGAAGTCGTTTCCATTTTTCAAAGGTTTTATTTCATGCGTTTTAATGTTATTTTGAATTTTGGGGTAACAAACATCACGCATTCTTAATGCAAATTTAAGACTCATATGGCTTTCTCATAGATGCTATTGGCAGATCTGAACCGAATTAAAATGGCACCATACGGCAAGCACTAGCTTTCAAATAAAGAAAGAATCATCAAAATCGGTGCCCTAGTAAAAAGTTATGAGGTTACAAACAGAAAAAAATATAGTCGGTTGGAATGCATCAACTGCCAATTACTAGTACTAGGGTTGTCGACTATAAAAAATATTATAAAGAGGAAAGATTTGATTGTTTGTTTGCATCAAATAGACTCAAAAAACAATGCATCGATTTTAAAATCTTTTTCATGTACGGAAATGTACATCATAGGCTATGGTTAATGCGAGCGAAGTCATGGGAAAACAACTAATATCTGAATTAAGTAATAAAAGAAATAAAATAAACAAAGCCAACATATTTTGATGTTAGGAGTTTTCAAGTTATAGATATAAGTAACAGAATATTTAACCTCACCTATAGACACTGTTTATCTCATCGAAGACCTTGGTTAACTCGACCAGATAAGTGTCCGCATTCTCCACCAGCTGAATCAATATTCTGTAAACAGTGTCTTCTGAATCCTTTCTTCTGAGGAGCACCGCTACAATCTTCGGTATTTCGTCTTTCGGTATCTATTAATTTTTGTACGATATCTATGTTAAATGTATTCACATTTGTATAACATCAAAACAGTTTAATTAAATTTAATTATAATTTTGATTATGATTTTTTAACGTTACAAAATGTATGGGTTACAGTGATTAGTTACATCATGTAAACCTCAAGCTTAGTTTAAGCATTTATTTTAGTGTCTTTAATTGAACATATCTATATTTTTTTTTATTAAAAAATACCCTAAAAAATACCCTATAACAAGGCTTCCCAAACCTTTTCTGATCCAATGACCCCTAGGAAATCGAGCACGAATTATTCAGTTTGTGTTGCTGCTGAGTTGTAATTCCGATGGTGCATTTCCGCTGTGCTAAGTAAGCTGTTATGCTGTTATGCTCATTTGGTGTCATTTATTTATTATATATAGATATAGTGGATAAAATTGCGATCCCCCACCCCCATTCAATCTACTCGCAAATCCCCAGTTCTGCAGATACAGGTAGGGAACCGCTGTTATATCGATGACAAAATTCATAAGAAAGAAATAACCACATTTAATAGATAATATTACTATATGCGTATAACTCACTTGATGAGCCAATGCGGAGGGCACTAGTGAAACTTTCCATAAGCACCCGAGCCGAGCGTCGATTATGTAGTCTGGTTGGAATACCACCCAGTTGCTAGAGTCTGATACAACGTGATTCAGAATATTATCTCCTAATTACAGGTTTGAATGAATGAGTAATTCTTTATTGTACATATACACAAATAATAGGAAAACAATAACACTTTTCGTTCTAAATATTTTAGTTTGAATATTAATTACATCACGTAACTTTTTTACTCTATAAAAATAATTGAAAATAAAAAGCGTTTTTATACTACAATTAATGGCCGCGGAGGTATAGAAGCACTGGAGTATGTCGATAAAAGAAGAAATTGAGGTGCGAGTCGCGAGTGCCGTTATACACTTTTATGGATTTATAATTTTGGTAATTGTAAACTGCATATAAATAAGTAATAAACAGGACAAAAATTTATTACTTAATATTTTGTTTCATTCTAATTTTGTATAGTCGTTAAATAATTTTCCTAATAAAATCACTGTTTACCGATAACTGTTGTGACGCCAGATATCTTAAGAACTGTCGTGTTTGTGTCCCTGTACCCCGCAGGAGAGGACTCTTTAATTAAATAAATACCATTTCAGTTCGACTTTTAAAATTAGCCAGTTTGTAAAGTTCAAAACCCTTATACATATTTGTTATGATGACAAAATAATGTACATATTCCAACAGGTTAAAAGTATCTGGGGTGTGTACTATTAGTATAGTTACGTAAATAATGTATTGTAAAGAATACACATGGGACAGTCGTGGTCAGCTAGCCGCGCGGGCTGCATGCACGCCGCCCCCACCACTGGCACGTGCACCACAACGCAGCCCCCGCCCCCAGCGCTTCCAGTACCGCTGGATTCCGCTATATCGAACACCTGGGATGTCTGCGACGACTGCGAAAAGTAACCCCGTCACACACCGTATCCTTACATCTTACGTCCACTCAGTTCCACTGCTAATTCGTGTTGCCTCTAATTCTTATATATTCCGTGACTGCACGCAGGTAATGATCTATTTTTAACTGTTTAATACCCTAAATATTTATCGTAGCGTCTTTGCTCGACAGACCGACAATACATAATTATAATTTAGATATATAACTTTTTTAGATATATTTAGGAATATATTTAATAAAAAAGATTAAAAAAATTCACAAACATCAGTTTGTAATTGCATTGTGCTTCAGAATGTGAATATATCGCCAAAAAAGAATATCTGGGTCACACATTACCATGAAAATGTCCTTTATTTTATTTCATATGCATATCTCAAATAATAATAAACTAAAGATATCAATAGGTAAGACAATACCTGATGGTGGACAACAAGTAGGTCATCAACTACGTTAACTGCGAATCTGCCTACGAGACCTGTCTTCAGAACATGGGTGACGTGTGCAGCATTGCCAGACACTGGTAACAACCATACCTAAAACCAAATGTCTGACTTAATCCACAAGAATTGACGTTTTTTTGGTTGGATCAAGGTGGACTCATCGAAATGTAGCATCCCATACAACAAAACGCATTAATGATATATGTAACATACCGATTACCTTCAAAGTTTTATTTTGTGCCATATTTTGTTTTTGGGAGTCTCATGAACAGACTATTATAGCAAATAATAATAATAAACGCTTTATTGCACTCAAAATTATAGTTTATAATAACAAAAATAACATAGTATATAAGGAATAAGCAACAGGTGGCCTTATCATCCTGGCAACATATGGCGAAAGAAAAATTATTGACAATGGGGACACTGTGCAAGGAGTGGTTACATAGGAAGCTTAAATATGTAGGTAAATAAATAAATTTTACTTTGTAGGAAACTATTTTACCCAAAAATTATTAAATAAAAAAAAGTCTTATGGTTACAATTAATTCATGAACATAAGTTACAATACCAACTTCAGTGGGCCCTGGTGCAGCAGTAGTAGTAGAGACTCCATGTCGGAAAACAGCACACCATGTAGAATCGCATAAACGTAATAGAAACACATCTCTCTCCACAACTGGACGAGCAGCATCCACTGACAAAAAAAAATAAGGTTTTGAAAAATGTCTTAACTACTTATGGCATTTAAAATTTGTATTGCATGGAAATAAATTGCACTAGGATCCAAACCTTTCAAAACTCAAAATAAAAATAGTTGTTTTTTGTTCATTTAGTCTTATATTTATGATTACAAATGTAGCCATATTGCTTTTGCAATGTAATAGGGATGTGTCCTACAATTGAAAATACAGGTTTCTGTTATATAGTTGGAAAATATGAATATTTAACAAAATAAATTTTATGGCACTAATTTGGAAAATATTACAAATTGTAAACTTGAAAAGGTAGGGTATATAATATATTGTAAAAGTTTGCTAAAATACATATGGCATTAAATTTGTTACACAATAAAACGTAATAACTCTAATTATAACAGCTAAGCAGCTGTTAACATAAACACACAAATAAAAAGATATTATATAGATTCCCCAAATGTCCATATGTTTTTAGCTATTGTGTCACTTTGTAGCTTGAATCTGTAAGAGGTGTTTTAGCCAACTAACAATCGCAAACATGCTGTTACTTCTGCATCATTTCTCAGGTATTAATGGACTATTTTTTTATTTAATAAAAAAAAGTTGTTAATTAGCCTATTTATTGTGGTTGTAGGTCTTACCATAGTTATTATAATCCTATACTATAGTAGATACACATATTCAAAGGAAATTATGTCACCTTCCTAACTTGCAAATTGCTTGAATTTGCACTATATTTGTTACCTAGTTCTGCATTTATTAGCAACCAATAAAGAAGGGCAACAGTTTAGTTACCTAATTATTAGTTCATAATAAATAAGATAACAATTCTTGCCAAACTAAATAAATAAAAAACTTAAATGGCTTGTTTCATTTCAATCATATGGCATATCAACTGTACCCACATTCAAGTTTTTGTAGTTTGGCAATGCTGGAGTTGTTTAATGAGAAAGGCTGCAACAAAACACCATTGTTACCAGCAAGTAGAACTATATTACTTGGGGCACACCAGGAAAACCAGGCTCCACTGAAACAAAACAATCAACAAGCAATTATAATTATCTTATAGAAAAACATGAAAATAAGTTACATTGTTAGTCCAGTATAGTCAGGTTCCATTCTATATTATAAATGTTTCAAAAAATATTATTTTAACACCCTTTGATATTTTTTCTACAACTAAATAATTAAACAGTGGGAGGGCTTAAAAGTGACACAGGATATTTAAAAATTTACATTAATCTTATAATTAAAATTCATAAATGGAATAATACCTGAAGGATGTGCTTTTCAAACTTTTCAATTGTTTTTTATCAGGTAAAACTACTAGTAGTTCTATGCCATGATCTGTCACAAATGCAATCTCATTAGCCTTAGGCCACACAAAGCCCAGGATTTTAGCATTTTTCCATTTACAAGTGTGTGAATATTCCACATTAGTTGGGGCTAAATCTTTGAAATTAACAAATTCAATTGTAGGGTTCTGATTTTCATGATTACGTTGGATGGCCAGTATTTTATGGTCTGGTGAAAACTTTATAGATATAATTGGACCTCTATCTTCCATTCTGAAAGATGTATTTTTGGAATTATCCATTCCAATTACTGTTACTCCTGTCACACCTCCTGATCTGACTGTGAATACCTGTAAGCAGTATAGATCCTCGATACATTATTTTCTTTTTAAAATACATGTTTATTTTTAATATTAAGTAATAAATAGAACTCAATCACCTGTCCATTTGTGTCATCAAAAAATACGTTAGTAACTGGACTATCAGCATCAAATCGTTTTGGTTGATCAGAAAGTTTTATATAATATTTCTCACTGTCAATTAAACAGAACTTTGCCATATTGAGATCAAATTATAATTATCAACTTTAAGTTTAAAACGCTTTTTTAGATTTAATTTATTTTTATTTTTATTTGTTTTGGATCACAGACTTAGTAGGTATCAGACGACCAACTTCCTAACAAAAAATTTCTTCGTAGAACGTGATTGGGAGCCAGTGATACATGACAGCTTCATTCGTTTTAAATATTAAGATCTACTATCGGCAAAGGCATTTGGCTATACAGCCCTGTTTTGGGTAGGTACCTAGCCGTCTTCCTATTTTCCACATTATTTTTACTTTAAATTCCTTTTTTGTTTTAATACAACAATAATAATAAAGCAGACTGATAAGTCTAGCTTATTATTATTGTTGTATTAAAACAAAAAAGGAAAAACGAACACGTAAATGAAACGCACATTTTTCCAATATTATTTATTGAATAATTTATTTTTAACTTATTATATTTTTCACAGCTTTTTCTACATTCTCGCAATTCATAGCTACGTTTTTTAGTGGCACAACCTTATGAAACTTTTCAAGGTAATTACAATTTTTTTTAAAGAGGGCACTGATTTTTGCATACCTTTTTATACACATAATTAAGTTTTTTCTAAAATTTCAATTGCCTTTGGCCAGAAAGAATGATGGTGTGTCTTATCTGTCACAGCTCTTTTCCTTTATGTTTTTTTTTGTTTATCGATGCTCCATTGACACTATCAAATAATTGGTCAAAGAATGAAACAACTTCAGCTGTATTTCTTAATATTGTGCTGACGAGCCTGCCATCCACATAAGATGCTGCAAATTAAAATATTCATATAATAATTGTATGAAACTTGATTCAAAACTATTAACTGTTGTAAATTTCATCTAATACTCACAGAAATTTGCAGTGTAAGACAAAGCTGCAGACAGAATGGCTCAATATTTTTACACAATTTTTTACCTGCAAAAAGAGATATCATATTTAAAATTATCTTCATTAGAGAATCATTATTGTAATTTAAGTGTAAACTATATTAACTACTTGTTACATAATTAAAAATACAGGTCATTGAATCAACACTTGCTCTGATAGAGAATATAGAAGCTGAATACAAATTATTTCTTTTACTTATACTAATTTAAGTTATACTAATATAATAACCAATGCATTACCTTCATCTTTTTAATTTTATCAGGTATAACTCATTGGTCATTTAATTTATGACGTAGCCCAGCTTCAGTGTGATGGCAGTCTGTCTCATTGACATAAATAATATCATGCCATTTTGCAAGTTAACCATCCAATATTAAATTTTTTGTTAAAAAATTGTTCCTGATACATTTTATCAAGTGTGTAGAATCATAATGTTCAAATCCACCCCACATATTTTAAGAATGCCAACTGAAACAAAAATTTAAGAACTTCTCAAATCATAGATAACAATATAAAAATAAGAACCTTCACTGCTTTCATTAAATCTATTAGTTTTCTTTCATATAAATATAATTCTCTGTACCAACCTGTGATTTCAATTTAAAATTTGATCTTGTGTCTTCTTTTAGATTTTTGAGTGCTGATTGGAAAGCTGAGCCTTGGTCATATATTATTACGATGGGATTAAGGTCCAATTCAACAACTTATTCTACTACTAACTTTAAAATATTCTTGATGTTTACAGTAGATGTAGCTCCTTGACAGAAATAGTAACATAAAGGCTGTTGCCACTTGTAAACAGCACCAACATAAATACAAGAGATCTGAAAAATCCACTTTCTTTTCTTGGTGTTCTACAAATCCATTAATGTTATCTTTAATCCTTATTACTTTTATTATACAAAAGTGCTGTTTCTAATGACATCTCATCAAATATAATGGAGCATATTTTTTTGGAGTTTCATTTGTCCACCTGAAAAAGTAAATTCAAATAGGTAGGTACATATTATTATTTTGTAGTAATACAAAAAATTATAAAAGTAGTATGAAAAACCTTATATGGAATATATTTACCTCTTATATGAAGCCTGGTTCTATGATCAATTTTCTAATCATAGTATTCAGTGTAGTATTGGATGATAAAATAAAAAATTTTGCTTAAAAATCAATAACACTTTAGACTCTGCTTCGATATTGATAAAGCAATTATCTTTTCTTCGGTAGTGAATCACCTCTCATGTTTATTTTTAGAGCACATGCTCACTTGCATTTCAAAAACATTTTTTGCAACTGTTTTCATTTTTTGTGTGAACTTTTCAAATGATAAATTTTTACAAAACTTAAAGGTATTTAAGTATTCTTAACTTTTTTATGAAAGTTCAACTACGTCTTTGGCTTGTTATATTCTTCATAAATTCTCTGGTATAAAGGTGACAATTGGCTTTATTTGGTAATAAGCCTTTTCCTTTTTGTTTGGGTACATTTCACAGGGTCTGTAACATCAAAAGTATTCAGTGAATTTCTCTATTAGAACTACTATTTGATTGAAATAAAGATACACTAAAGAAAGAGACAGGTCTTACCAGATAATTTAGTTTGTGTCATATTTTAATCTCCAGAACCAGCAACTAATTTAGTAAACTCAGTGGCTGCAGACACAGGAGTCTCAATTTGTTCTTTGAAAATTACACCACCTATGAAATCAATATTGATTATGTGTGTAAGATTAAAAAACAGGATATAATCTTAGATGATATTAGAAATATGTTATTTATATTATAAATTTTTTCTCTGATCAAAATCACTTCTAGCATGCCCGCTAGAGTTAAATAACTTAATGTAATTTTTCTTTATGTGTGTAAGAAAGACAGATCTATTAGACTTTTTTAAAGCAAAAATCTATGTTAAAATACACCAAAACTGCAGCATGAACTTTGTTATCTAAATAAAATAAATTAAAAACAAACCTCTGTTCAGTTACACTTTCTAATATGTGTGGTCAACATGACTTTTTCTTGCATAGCTGTGTTCCCAAGTGAATATAATTTCTGTAATAACAAAAAAATCTAATGAAGAATAGCGGTATTCCAAAACACAACATAAAGTGAAGATACATATCATTTTAATTACATTATCTAAAGGTAATAGCAGATTAAACCAGCCTTACCAGTATTGCTTGAAGAGGGTAGGCCGATTGAGAGCCCATCATCATTAAACAATGACGGATATGCGTCACCCAAGAGTCGTGATTTTGGAGTAATGAATCTTGGTACAACGTGTTTGCTACAAATGACACTTCTGCCTGGATTCAAATTTTCAGTATCACACACAGCACTAAGACATTGTAACCACTTGGAGAATCTTTTCTCGTTCACTAGAATCTTACAAAGAATAGCGTCCTGTTCGTACTCTAACAATGCGTGTAACACAACCATAACACAACACACCAATTTCCTAGGCATCTTCTACAAAGAAAAATACTTCGAAAAAAGGAGAGTTAATATTACAAATAAAGCGAAGAGGGTAAGCACAAACGAAACTTTACTCAATCACTTGTAATTCCCTGATATGTAGGTACATACTTTAGTCTTCTTCTTCTTTTATTAATGGCAATCTGCGCATTTCACACAATTTTGCCAATGTGAAATGAATAAATTAATTCCAACAAGTAAAATTAATTAAAGATTAATTTAAAACTAAGTATCTTTACTCTTTGTTGTAATGACAGTTTCTGTCAGGTGTCATGTCTCCATCTACTGACAGGGGTGAGGGGCGTGTGGAAATGTCATACATCACTGGACCCCTACGCGATTGGTTTCTTGTACGGAGTTGACGGGCCGTAAAATCCTGAGCGAAACTGCTCAGTTTAAACTTTGGTTACCCATCACCATAGAGAAATATAATATTACCAAAACCAATTCATATTGTCATAATGACATTTCTAGAGATGCTATATTTATAGGGAAACCGACAAATATCCTTAGTATCGATAAATATTCAAGAAAAACAGCGATATCGACATTGGTTAATATGGACATATTAAAACGTAATATCGAATGAATTCGTTAGCAAAAATAATATAACGGTAGCTACGCCCCTGGTCATGTACACGGCTCTACGGTGCGGGGCGATGGACAGACACTTAGTTAACCTCACATCACTATGTCTTGAATAGTTGATAAAAATAATAATGTTTTTAATCAATCAACTAGAGAAAGACAAGAAACTTATATAATCTTGTCTCAACCGCATGTCATAAAGGATTTAATTGATCACTACATTTTACGCAATCATTTCCTATAATAGATTGTTATCGAGAATTTTTACTTAAATCTTCCTCATAAGGTCTAGCAACGACTTAAGGTGTCCCAATTAATATTGAAAAATGTCATTATCGAAATTCATTCAAACTTGGGTTGCTTCGAAGCGCGCGCTGTTTCATAGTAAGCGCATAGGTACATTTTATGAACTTTGACTCGACTCAGTGCTGGTTTTAGCACTACTAGCGCCCTGAACGAAATTTCTTCGGCGCCCCCTAACTGCAATTCAATTACTACTACATACTACAGATCAGTTACTTGTCTTTTTTTCGCTGACCCGGCCTACTTACTTGTAATTTTCCCTAAATTTAGGTAGATTGTTAAGTTGGCAGCATTAGAATGGAACGTAGTGTTCAATCGGTTTAATTTCTCGGGAATCCCCGACTTTCCGACCATACAGAAACAATGTGTTTTTCTATAATAGGGGATTCCCGAGATCTATCTCTTTTAATTTTTGACGAAGCAGAACACAATCAACAATCATCTTCATGTTTGTCATAAGTGGACGCTCTTAAAACAATTATTCGATTATTTTAAAACAAACAAACACAGTAATCAAACATTTAACGCTACATTATGATGCTCTTGTTCCAACTATAGAGTGACATGAGTTTTATTTAAAAATAGACATATAAATAGTGTATAAGTAGCTGTTTCATTTTTGACGGATCACATCATTAGACCGTGGGGTGCCGGCCTAAGAGTAGCACTCCCCCATATCCTCCCGTGGGTGTCGTAGGAGCCGACAGAGGGATTATACGGAAGGCGGGCAGCAGCGCCTCCCGGTATCACCTACCACCGCCTATTGCGATCCCCAAGTCGCCTGCCAAGCGTGGGGATTATGGCAACCCCCCCCCCTCATGATGGACAATGATGTATGGCCCCCAGTCCCCGGCAGCCCCTCTATTCCTGTCTCTGGTAGCAGGACAGGTAACGGAGGGGCAGGGGGTGCTAAGAATCCCCGGCAGATTCGGCGCTACCAACACAAACGGACTATGGCCCTGGCAACATACAATGTCCGCACACTGAGGACTGACGTGAAGTTATTAGAGCTGGAGGAAGAATTGAGCAAGTTGCGATGGGACATAGTGGGATTATCCGAAATCCGAAGAGAGGGCCAGGATACGGTAATCCTTGAGTCCAGTAACATGCTCTTCTTCCGGAAGGAGATCAATAATCTCAAGGTGGTGTTGGGTTTCTCGTCCACAAGTCCCTCGTGAACAACGTGGTGAAAATCGATAGTGTGTCGAGCAGAGCGGCGTACCTTATACTCAGAATTACCGAAAGGTATTCGCTGAAGGTCATACAGGTTTACGCCCCGACCTCTTCACACTCCGACGATGAGGTAGAGGCTATGTACGAGGGTCAAACTGAAAGTTCTTAGAAAATCAAAAACTGATTATATTAGCCAGTTATTAGTTTTATTATATCTTTTCAAAATATTGTCCATTCACGTCAATACACCGCTGCATGCGATGGAACCACTGGGAAAAGCACTTTGCCCACTCGTCCTTAGGGGTCTCTTCAATGGCATCGCGATACGCAGCCACCGCTTCTTCAGCATTCATAAACCGCTTTCCTTTAAGTTTTTCTTTAATTTTTGGAAATAAATAAAAATCACAAGGCGCGAGGTCGGGGCTATACGGCGGGTGACCCAGTAATTCAACGTTTGATGTCGCCAAATAGTCGATCGTTCGCTTGGCGGTGTGCGACGAGGCGTTGTCGTGGTGAAGGAGGATCCTACTGCGAGGTCGTTTCTCTCGAACTTTTTCCAAGACAAGTGGCAAACAATTGGTAGTGTACCATTCTGCAGAAACTGTTTTTTGATCCTCTAACACAATTGTTGCAAAATGACCTATCCTTCCAAAGAACGAGGCCACCATTTTTTTTCCCGCACTTCGATCTCTCTTCACTTTAGTTGGCAACTCCTCGAAAGGAAACACCCACTGAGCAGATTGTCTTTTGGTTTTAGGATCATAACAGTAAATCCAGCTTTCGTCACCTGTTAGTATGTCGAACACAGCATTTGAGTCACCTCCGTTAAATCTTTCAATCATTTTACGACACCAATCCACACGATGGAGTTTTTGAGCCTCAGTCAAATTATGAGGTATCCACCGGGCGCAAAGCTTCCTGACCGCTAAACGTTCGTGGAGGATTTTGTGCACTTGACTCATACCGATGCCTAAGCTTGTCCGAATCTGTTGATAGGTCACTCTTTTGTCAGTCTCTATCATACGCCGCACAACACAGATGTTATCTTCAGTCGTCGCCGTAGAAGGCCGTCCCTCACGTAAATCATCAGTGAGATTAGTGCGACCACGTTTAAACTCATTAAACCAGTTGTAAACAGTCGCACGAGATGGGGCTTCATCGTGAAAGGCCAATCGTAGTCTATCATAACTTTCTTGTTGACTTAAATGACATCGAAAGTCATAAAAAATCATTGCACGAAAATTTTCTCGTGTTAAATTCATGATGACGTGACACAGACAATTTTCAATTTGCCGCCAAATCGTAAAACAAATGACAAATGAATGAAATATATACTCAGTAATATTGGCAAAGAGTTATATTTTCAAATTTTAGAATTATTTTTTTATTATATTGTTTATAAGTGGCCAGTTCTAAGAACTTTCAGTTTGACCCTCGTATGAGGAGATTTCTGAACCTACTTCACCGTTGTAATGGGGGACTTTAACGCGAAGCTGGGCGCTTCGAACGGCGATGAGTTGAGGGTGGGTCGATTTGGGTATGGGTAGCGCAACCACCGGGGCCAGAAGTTGGTCGATTTCATGGAGAAGGAGGGACTCTTTGCGATGAACTCCTTCTTCCAGAAGAGACCCTCCTGGAAGTGGACCTGGATGAGCCCTGATGGTTCGACAAAAAATGAGATCGACTTTATCATGACAACCAGAAAGCACATATTTAATGATGTCTCCGTGATCAGCAGGGTGAAAACCGGTAGCGATCACCGAATCGTTAGAGGCACATTGAATATCAATGTTAAGCTCGAAAGATCACGTCTGATGAAGTCTACGCTCCGTCCTAGTGCTACTCATATCGTGGACCCCGAAGCCTTCCAACGCCAACTACACAACCGCTTTCAGTGTCTAGCTGAATGCGAGTCTGTGGACGAAATAAACAACGGGTTTGTAGAAACAGTCCAAGCTGTAGGGTCTAAGTTCTATAAGGCCCCGCGCCGTATTAAATCTCAAAAGCTCTCAGACGACACGCTCAAGTTGATGGCGGACCGGAGGGATATGAGACTGCAATCTTCAACCGATATGTCGGAATATGGTCGACTTAACAGACGAATTTCCAAATCGATGCGACGCGATCTGCGCTCCTATAATACTACACGTATTAGGGAGGCAATAGAGCGGAACCAAGGCTCCAAAGTGTTTGCACGAAATTTGTCTGCTGGGTCGAGTCAGATGACGAAGCTGAAGATCGACGACGGCAGGATCGTATCTTCAAAACCGGAGATTCTGATTGAGCTTGAGAGGTTTTATGGACAGTTGTACACATCATCACAACAACCCGTTGAAAGCAATGCTCAGGACACCAGAGCAAAGCTGACCCAACATTACACCGAGGATATCCCAGACATCAGCCTGTACGAGTTTAGAATGGCACTCAAACAGCTCAAGAACAACAAGGCACCGGGGGATGACGGAATCACTACTGAACTTTTGCGAGCGGGTGGAAAACCGGTACTCTTAGTCCTCCAGAAATTGTTCAATTCCGTCATTCTCGAGGGTACGACGCCAGAAGCGTGGCACAGAAGCGTGGTTGTGCTCTTCTTCAAAAAATGTGACAAGACCTTGTTGAAGAATTATAGACCAATCTCGCTTCTGAGTCACGTTTATAAGCTGTTTTCGAGGGTCATTTCGAATCGTCTCGAACGCCGGTTTGATGACTTCCAGCCTCCCGAACAAGCCGGTTTCCGAAAAGGCTTTAGCACCATAGACCACATACATACGCTGCGGCAGATTATACAGAAGACCGAGGAGTATAATCTGCCACTTTGCTTAGCGTTTGTGGACTATGAGAAAGCCTTCGATTCAATCGAAACCTGGGCAGTACTGCAGACCCTCCAGCGATGCCAAATCGACTACAGGTACGTCGAAGTGTTGAAGCGTTTGTATAGCAACGCCACAATGTCGATTCGCTACCAGGAAGAGAGCACGAAACCAATCCGATTGCGCAGAGGCGTGAGACAGGGAGATGTCATTTCTCCGAAACTGTTCACGAATGCATTGGAGGACGTCTTCAAGCTCTTGGAATGGGACGAATACGGCATCAACATCAATGGCGAATACATCACTCACCTTCGTTTCGCCGATGATATAGTCATCTTGGCAAGATCGATGGAGCACATCAGTACAATGCATCCTCACGGTTCTTGTCTTTTTTCGCCGACCCAGTAAGCCTTATTTAATGAGCGAGGGAACTATATATATATATATATATATATAATCTTTGTCTGTGGGAAATGAGGAAGTATTAGAAAAAAAACATTAGTTCCCGAAATCAAACTAGATGTCGCTACGGTACGTTCTTGATTTCTCCATGACAACCCTTCCAGTTTTCTTTCATGTTTAAAAGTAAATTAGTTTTCAAAATTCAATTAACAACTCATATTCTATTTGTACTTTTTCGTATTTGTATTGATATCTAAGTTTCGAACATTTCAAATTTTAGTTTTTTAATATGTTACTTAGAAGGAACGGAAATGACTGTCTTTGTTCCATTCGTTTCTTGCAAAAATCAACCTTTGCTAGTCTTCAAAAGGGGCGCCGAAGGCCGCGGCGCCCTTTTTTCGTCCGGCGCTTCTTTCTGATTCTGTATAATGAGGAAATATTAAAAAAATGAAAGCACTACAAAAGTACCTCCTCTAGCCATCTAGAGGCGCCCCTTTTGGTCCGGCGCCCCGGGGCGGTCGCCCAACCGCGCCCTACCCTAACGCCGCTACTGACTCGACTCAACTCAGCACGGCAAGCCTAGTCATGATAAGAACTATTCCAAATACACACGACTGTACGTCATGTTCGTCAGATCAAAATTCCTTAATTCATTCTGAACTGTACATACAATTCAGTAAGATTTAAACAAGTGGATAAATTTGACAGTTTTGTGCTGTCCTGAATGGATTAAAAATATATAGGGAATTAGAAACTTCACCGATATATCGATTTTATTATGAAAATACATCGATAATTATTATATAAATCCACTTTCACAGTCCGGACTCAGTGGTTAGAGTAGTTTGGAAAACGCGTTCACAGAGAATTTAAGCGTAAACACTACGGATGAGTTTTTTGAATAATATATAAGTTTATAAATATTTATTATTACTTATAATTTAGGTTGATCGAAGCAGATCAACAATAATAGTCAATTGGAAGACCATGGATGTACTATGTAAAAATTGGGTTATATAAACGTAAAAAAAATATATTGACACCGGAACGCATTCTTTTTAATACCATGACAACTTTGGCGGGACAACAAAAATTAGTAGGTATTGCTTGGTAAAATAGGAAATACAATTTGCCAGTAGGTAATATAATAACTAATTCACGTATTTTAATTTATGATGTCCGAAGACATTGAGCTGCATTCGTTTTGCGTCAATGCCAATACTACGAGTGATATTGAAGTATATCAGGAAGTAACTTCGCAAGTCCAACATGAAACTTCTTTCGCCAATGTTAAGACTACAAAATTTAAGAAATTTGATTTCTTTACCGATATAAATGTGAAGTCTACTCAAAACCAAAAAAATAAGAAAATAGAAGCTCCGGCAAATATAATGGATATAGTACAGTCTGAGTTAGCTTCTGCCACCTTGCCTGTTACGGAAGCTCCTGTTGTAACAATGTTAGATAAATGGGAGAAGGATCAAAGTAGTTTTTTACTTAAAGTACCAAGCGTTCAAAGCTTCTTTAGAAAATCACAACGTCTAGACTACAAGTAAGTATGCTTAAGTAATATCAATATTAAAGCAATAGGTATCAGTTCACGTAAGGAATGAGCTATTTTAAGGTCATTAGTTTGATTAGCTTCGTTCGGGCGAACTTTGATGAAATGATGTGAAAGGCACAGGATTCATAAATAGAAGGGGTATGCACGGATAACTTATAAGTTTTCTCGCTCCACTACAGGGTAGATAAGTAGGCAAGTATTTGTCTGTAGATAGAAAGTCTACACTGCAGTGGTTTTGTGGATCAGGTACGAAAGAAACTGGGGCATAAGTATTGCCGAGACATAGGATTGATGGTATCTTGCTTCATGATATGTAGTCCACTTATGAGGACTGTACTGGATGTGTACGAGTAGACGGCAGCCTGTCGCCCCGGTTGGCGTCAAATAGGTTGTAGGTAATTGCAAGGATGTAAAAGCCGCGTAAGGCTCAAACACACTTTCATAATGCAATTAATTGCGTGCTGAATTAAGAGTAATGAAGGTCAAGGAGGTGAAAGACGTATGTTGAAGATTGTGCTTTGTGGCGCTCGCCCGGTCCTCTCGCTTAACCCGCAAGGAATCCGGCGTGAAGATAATATAGATTTTATCATAGTGAAAAGCTCGATGGTGCAGTAATTAGGGTATTTGGTTTGCGATTGCGGCGATAACTAACTTTCTCAAAGGCCGGATGGATGGTATAAATAATTATTTTCTCGAGCTCGTCCGTGCCTCATGAGCCACGTTAAGCAGTTGGTCCAGGTAGCATCTGTATAGGTACTTATTTGCAGTGGGCCAACATAGTAGTTATTTTTTATGATTTTATCATAGGGAACGGTAGTCCTAGTAGTAACTTGATCGAATCCCAGGTCCAACCTTAGTTGCTACTATGGAAAGATAAGTTGATTGGTAATTACCGATTTTATAATTTCAAACAGATGGAGCCCAATGGATATGGTTAATTTAAGCCCAATATTTCCAAGAATACTCGAGAACGCAACATCAGACGATTATTATATACCTGTTCAGTATATGTATCCACTGTCGTTTGAAGAGCTTGGGCTAGAACAACATACAGATAAGACTGAAGGCACTGATAAATTCTTAGATATAACAATAAAAAATTTGAAATTTTTACATCATCACTTATTTTCATTAGAAAAAATGTTGTGTGTAAAACTTCTCGAAAACTATCAAGATTACCAAGTTTCACGTCTAAATATGAACGACCTAGCTAAAGAAATTAAAATAAAAAGAGAAACTAAGAATAACATGAAAGCCGAACTTTTAAAAATAAGTCCAAATAAGAAAGATGATTTAAGATTCGATAAAACGGTGAGAAAATATACTAGTTTTTTTTTGCAATTGAAGAAAGAATATAGCGAATTGTTAAAGAAGAATAAGGACCTGGTTCATAAGATGACATCTCTTTGGTCAGACATTGAAATGGTCCGTGAGAAATCTGATAAAATTGAAACATCTTACATTCTTGAAGTAGTAAATAACGCCTTGGATGAAAGTGACTTTCATGAAAAATGGACTAAAGTTTATAATATTGAATTCAATGATTTACTTGATGAAATAGAATATGAATATGTGACAAAATATATAGAATATAAAGATATGAAGAATGATCAAAATTTAGGAAGTTCAGAAAAGAAAAAGCTCAGTAAGCCCAAATTACAAATTGATGAAGAGGTATTAAACGAGCAGGTGGAAGAAATAGTTAATAACATCGTAACTAGAGATGAAAAAGATTTTATATTCAGAAGAGACGAAAGTATTTTAACAACTGGCAAGAAAAAGGAAAGAAATTTAATAAAATATCATTTCGATATCTATGTAGATACTTCTTTCGTCTGTTCATCTGAAAGTTATACATGCGAACAAGAATCTCTTTTTGAAATTGAATTTACAGAGTCTTTTTCTATTCAAATTCTTGCCAAAAACCAATATATTTCTATAGCATTAATTGAAAATGATGATAAAGTGTCAGTCATACGGATAGATATATCGAAAATAGGTCAGAATTATACTGAAGCCAATTTTTCAACGTACACTTTTACATACTCAAATATGTTATTACAACCCACGTATAATTGTATAGGTAGTGGGTACAGCATCAAAGATATAGCTAAGATAAATAAAGTCAGACTTAAGAGTAGCAACATATTCGAAGGAAACCTAGAAAGTAATTGTAAAGTTGGTTTGAAAATGGGCTGGAATAATAAATTAAATAAACACAATAGTGAGGATATAAAATATTCTATAGAGATTGGAAGAAAATTGGCACGACTAATGCACGGACTCGATAAGCCTAATGTGGATTCACTTACCGATATTATAATCATGAGTTACGGTAAAAACATTTTAAAAGATTCAAAATTTCCGCAAATCATATCAAATATTTGTGATAGTAAAATAAAGTCAGACCTAGAATTCTCAATAAATGAGGCCGATCTTGAATTCGTTAGATTAAAATTGCTTCATTTAAGGAATATCGGAGGTTTCACCAATGTTCAAAATAAAATGGTACCATTACATGCAAGTCAGCTATCTACAGAACAGTTGAGTTGTTTGCAAAAAAGAAACTCTGAAGGTGTTGAGGTTGACTACATCAATGACAAATGTGGACATATGGAGGCTATTGAGCTGCAACGATTTATTAGTTGTAAATATGTACAAAAGCTTAATCAGAACATGTTGAAGAACTTACACGATCATTTGATGAAGAGGACGCATAAAGACGTCGTTCGTGACTACAGAGACTTAAGTTTGAGGTAAGTATGTAGTTTCATATTCAAACTTAGGCATATTCTGAATTAAGTACCTTATATATTATGATAAATGTTAATTTCAGAAATTTGTTTTCAAGTAAATCTAATTTGACCACGTTAGTGTCTATACCTAAAAGTATTAAACAACAATATTTGAACGATTCCATTAATAAGCAACAGGAAATTCGCGTAACTGTAATAAAGGCTTATAACTTAATGGATAGAAATTCTACAACTCTTACCGAAGATAATGAAGAAGTAGACACTACAATAGCAGGTAAGCTTGTAATATAAAATAATGATGGTAACCCGTAATAGTATAATATACATCATCCACAGTGTTTAAAACATCAATAGGTCATCAGTTTATTGTTAAATATAATCCAATGATGACCGATCGTATGATTAAAGCTAATAATGAGTCTTGTTTTAATAATTATAGGATGATTCGCCTGAGGTAAGGGCATCATAATTGAATCATACTGATTGGCCGACATTTAAAGCGCTTCAAAATTTAGTCTTCATTGCAGTGCTAAAATTATATTGTTATTTTTTGGTGCAATAAAATTATTGGGTAATTAAAAGATCTTTTTAAAAATTCGTCTTATTAGGTTTTAAAGTTCGTCCGTTGAGACCTTACATCCGGTTGAGTTACCACGGGATCTCAACTCGCACCGCCACTGCTATCGGCTGCCATCCCACCTGGAATCAAATTCTAAAGATTAATACTATGTAAGTTATACAAATTACCGTCTGTGCTTTATACCTACTTTCGTTTCTGTACCAGAACTGTTTCGTAACAACTACAGTTGATGACGATTCTTGGAAACTTACAGATTGCAACCCATATCCTCCCTTCACATTAATTTGTTCGATGAATATAAAACCAACATCACGGAAGGTGATTCAGGCGATGAGAGTTCACATGGTCATTATAGTTGCAGCAACAGGTGGCTTGGTACACTTCAGGTGCCGTTGCATACTGTGTTGTCTTCAGGAACGGTAGGTCAAATAAGTTTTTCGAATAGTAAAAATACGAGGAAATAACAAAGTTTCGTTTCTTAAGTATTTAGTCAGATATCGTCAGAAAACATCTTTTTTTTTTTTACAGCTTCGTGGTACTTTTAAAATAACTACTCCACCCTTTTTGTTTGGATACGATGTGGTGCAAAATAAAGATACTTCGCGCACTTTAATTCCAGCAGTAACAAGACTTTTAAAAAAAGACACGTCCTTTATTGTCCTCCAAATAACTAGTAGTCTCTCTTATTTGGGAGGATTACATGGCTATAATCAACCTATACCAAGTAGCGTCGACGATGACGACTTGATAAAACATTTGAATAATGCTGTTACAGAATACACTAACGACTTTTCTACAAGAAATATAAGACTGACCTTCATAGACAGTTCAGGAAAGAATAAATGTGTAACACAGTTTTTGCAGCCAATACCTTTGCCGAATTACGAATATTTTCCTAAAAACCCTAAAACTAGAGGTGAATCAGCATTGTCTAAGAGTTCAGGAGTCTCCAAAAGTTCTTCTTCGAAAAGCAGCGACGAGAAAAGGAGAGAAACAGACATAGAGAGAGGCACTCAAAGTCCTAGGGAGAAAGAGTCAACGTACAGCGGATTTGAGGGTAGTTGGAAAGATGACAGTCAGTTGACGAAGATGATGAACGTTTGCTTGAGATATGTGTCTTTGATACCGACGTATGATGTCACAGAAACTCACGTAGTTACGCTAACGGGGTTGGTAAGTATTTCGGAGTCTTAAATTGGTTGATGTAATATGAGGTGTGTTATTGTAAAAGTGTCTTTTAATACATTGTGTTCTATTTGACTACGTAAAAGAGAGTCAAAGTTTACAATATTTCCTATATTTTCTAAAAGTTAATTACTAATCTTCTTTTTCAGGAACTACTAAAAGTTTTATACGGATCACTGCTAGACCACACTATCTTGCTAGCTAGTTATTTTCTCTACCTTGGTATAAAATGTTGGGTTGTAATTGGCAATGGTCTACCACGAGGTTTGAGTAGCTACGTGCTTACTAAATACGACGTAACCAGTGACAGGGATGTTATGACAACTGACCAGTTGTTTAAAAGTAAAGGTTTCTTGAACAAAAGCGATGGTTATCTTTGGTATGTATATGATTCTACCACCGGAGAACGTTTCGAATTGAGAGATATCACTTGCCCTTTAAAAACTGTGGATTATGTTTTCGATGAGGATAATGTGAGTTTTTTGTATACTTATATTAATTTATTTTTAGAAATACCTGTACGTATATCTCATTTTTGACGCATTAAAGTTTAAGGGAAATAAAACGTTAAGGAATACATGTGATTTTGAATGATCATAAGATATTGCATAAAATTGTTTAATATTCAGTAAACTTAATTACCCACGGTCGTAAACAAAAATTTAAATATCACCGATGATTTTAAATTTTAACAAGTCGAAAGTACGCTCGAAAATGATGATCTTTGACACCCTGATGTTAAATGTACAAATTTTCATTAGTATTAATATAAGTGTTATCAACCCTCTGATGTTTCAGATTTGGCTTAATATACAATCATCTCAAGATTGTGAAAATGTATCTTTCGATTTAGCTAAATCTTCAAATTGGAAACCAGTAAGTAGGACCTGATATTACAAAAATATGCTGCAATAAAATATATATAATATTATTATTTAGCCTCTTTGTTTCAGGTTTTCGATAAGAGAATGTTCATTATGAAGCAGGGATTGGTGACAGATCCTAGTCTCTATAGTGCTCCCCCAGATATTACGGCTTTAAGGGAAATGTTGGAGTCTAAAATTAAGATCAAAGTGCAAAAGTGGAGGTCACAACTAAAGACTATATGGAACAGGTAAATGCATAACATAAGGAGAATGAAACGAGCTTCCAAAAATGTTAAATAGCTGATCTAAGAACTAACTTATATTTCTATAAATTTCGAATCAAGTTAGTTGGATTTTCAATTTGAAACAAGATGATTTATGATTAAACACCTTTGCAGAGTTAATATTTGTCAATAGGTCTCTCTTTGGCTTCATTGCCGGTTAAAATCAAGAGATATCACTTCGACAACTAGAGACATTTAATAAGTACTAATGGCTCATTTACGCTAATCGGGGTGGCGTTTTATTTTCATTCGGCCATTGGCCTATGATTAATGCAAAAAGCCCACAGAGTTCGCATACTCCATGTATGACGAATTATGCGGGCCAATGTAAATGGGCCATAAAACATCGCAAAGATAGAAATGTAAGATATGTGTGTAAGGAAATATTTTTACCCGCCATTTGGACATCCCCCAATTAATTCTGAAACAGAGCACGCTACGCCATTGCTATCGAGTCTGACTATATATGATTTTTCAATAGGTACAGTAGCAGTTTGCTTCGTGAATCTTTACTGCACTGGGAATATTGGACGTTCAACCCACACGAACCCAAGCCAGCGTTGAGCCAACGCCTAAAACAATTGATGATTTCATATAAGGTAATAACTTAGTTTATTCTCAATTGCATTATGAAATTAACCAAATTCCAAGAATATTTCAATAATATATACGCAATTAAACTGTTTTCCTTTACAGCTATTCGGTTTCCCTTTAAACATGCCGTATGCGAACGCAAAATCTGTTATATCTACAGTGAAATCGACGGGACTACATATTAACGACGATCCTAGCGTGGAATTCGGTTTGGCAGTCGAAGTGTTTGCTTATCCTAAGAATGTGTTGAGTGTTTGGGTGTTTTTGGTCAGTATAATTAGAGTTTAAGTTGCTGTTTTTTACATACATTTGGAAAATATTGAATTGTTTTTCATTGGGATATCACCACCTGGTCGACAACAAAAACTTTTGAGAAGAGCAATATAAAATTTATTATTATTAAAAAACTCATTCAGATTCCTTAATAAAAAAAAGTCAAGTTAATTAATTTAAATAAAAATAGAGTTCATATGTCTTTTCAATTTAATGCTAACAAAATAAAATTAACATTTATTCCATCGTAGTATAAAAATATACGTAAAAGTAGAAAAGAAGGGATGTTACAGAGTTACGTGTCGCAGCGTTTTTATTTTAGCATTGCATTTTTCATCACGCTCGGGCCACGGTCTCTAAAAAAGGTCATTACCGAAATGACACAAAGCCAATGTCACTATTTGGCTAGAAATAGTACAATATATTCACATTATACACAAGTTATAATCCTATTTAAAACACTTAAACAATGAGATACATAAATAAAATTATGGCATATAAATGACTAAGTTAAAAGAATAAAATAATTCAGAAAGTTTTTCCCTAATTACCAGTTCGACATCAAGTTCATGACAAAGATAACATAATAAAGCCGTTAAACGCAACTATTAAGGTTTGAACTAAAGTTATACACACTTGCATCTCTTTAAAGTAATATTAATTTGTATCAGTGTTTAACGTTTCGCGTGTATGATGACGTAAACTTAACATTGCATTGAAAATATTATTTAATATATGACTGAGTGCGCATATTTATTTTATAAATTAACAATCACAAAGACGGCAAGTTCTAAATCAACACAGTTCATACGGATATGCTATTGGCCATTTATCAAAAATTTGAAATGTATGCCTATTTGTTACTCAATTAAAGCTGCACAGATTTGGACTTGCCTAGAAATTTTAATTCTGAAATTTCATTTTAAATATATAAAATTATATATTACTATTTTATTTATTATACATTACGTTTTGGGAAAGTGGAACTGGCTCATTCCGATCATAAATAAAAATATGAATATCATTCACCTCGCTCAAGATTGCTTCCCCACCCCTGTCATATTACTTCATAGTGACGTCACACAATGCAATATGTATTACATTATTGTTAAAAATAATTACAAAGATAAAAATTGAGAAGCGCCCGCGCTATAAAGACCCATTCACATGATGTTATTATTCTGTCTTCTAATTATTACGTAATTATGACATAGGCGTTTGAATAAAACATAAGGACGCTTAGTCAGCCAGAGCATGATCACAATAAATATATATAAATCTTAACAAATTACCATTTGAAGAAAGGGTATTTTTATCTTTTTCTATATCTACGGAGCAAATAGTTATATTAGCAACATGTAGAAGAGCGTTTTCTTGTATATTTAGCGCAATTGGGCATTATCGATATAGTGACTTAGCTTTGGGTCGGAGACCTTAAACCCAGCGCAGGGACCGAGGCCCGATAGAGCGATAGAGGCGGGGGTCGTGGAGAGGAAACCGAGTCAGTTCGCGGTAGATATATAAAGTCGTGGCTTAGCTGCCGGGGTCGTCGGTTTTGTTCTGTTTGGAGCGTCGCAGCTGCTGCAGGTAATGTCTCTGGATAGGTTTGTGCAGGGCGAGCTGGGCGAGCGCGTCGTCTATAGAGAACCACTGCCGCTTGCGGCCCATTAGCCTGGAGTCCTCCCACTCGGCTAATTCCTGCGTCACCGTCATCACGTACACTTCTGTCCTGTGTTTGTGCTCGCGATTCTGAAAATAAAGTATGATGCCTTGTGGTTATTACGAAACTGGAATATACCTAAAATTATGAATTAAATTAGTGTCGCCACCTCTGATCGATTCCCGGTTGGGTCATTGCAGAAAATCACTTTTCTATATTGTCTTTGGTCTGGTCTGCTTGTGGTATCGTCATTGATATATATATTTAACTACTCATATCTGAATAAGAGAAATGAACGTGATGTTGTGTTTACTTAAATGTTTACTTAAAAAATATTTTGCTCAACTGAGCACTGTTAGCGCGTTAGGTCTGTTATTGCGGAAATTAAGTAACTTCTTTAAAGGCCGGTCAGCGGATGGATGTCTGAAATTTTATTATTTCAAACTTCTTCATGCTTCAGAATACACATTAAATGGTTGAATCTGGCAGGTACCTGCAGTCCTTAGAACCAACCACACCTCACAATGCCCTTTCTCATGTGGAGCCGTGCATACACAAGAAAGGCTTGTTCAAATTATGATGATGATGACGAAAGAAATCTATAATATTCTTGATGAGAAATTCTTAATAAATCCACCTTATCCTTGGCATTCTTAAAGCATTTTTCATCTATTCTGTAAGATATTGTTTTCTTTAATTTAGTAGTTGGTTAGAGTACTCACATTCCTATAATTTAAAAAAAGAATTATACGTTTTTTCTTTTCCAAACAAATTTTAATATTTTTCTTTGCTTACTTTCACAAGTCAAATAATAGTAAAAACTACAGAGGTTATGATTATCTGGATCTACTAAATTAGTTGAACATTCATTTAGTTTTTGTGCTTAAATAACATGAAATACTGTAAATTGCAAAATAATTAGCCTAAAGAAGCAGCCAAGTGCGAGTCTATTCCTGCACGAAGAGTTTCGTACCGAAAACGAACAAAAAATTCACCTTTAATGTATGAGAGCCTCCTTAAATATATTATTCTTTTTTTTTGAATTTGTTGTTATAACGGCAATAGAACTACATGAGCTGTGAAATCTTAACTGTCTAACTATCACGGTTCATGGTGACAGACAGACATACAGCAGACTTAGTAATAGGGTTCTCGTTTTACTCTTTGGGAACGGAGCCCTAATAATCAAAGATGCTGCAAAAAGTCAAAGTATTCCACGCGAAGGAAGTCGCGAGCCCAATTAGTTAAGAATATTTTTCAGTATAGCATTTGTGAATGCAAATATGATCAAATAGAATAGAAATCTATAATCTTATAAGATCATCTATATTTTTGTTAAAATAATTATACTGAAGTAATGTTGTCCATCTTCTTATAATGTCTTTGAATTAGCTAGACAGAGTTAGTAAGAGGCGGATTTGCAGGCTTGGCTCATAATTTAGGTACTACATATAAATTTGATTACTTGACATCATTTATTGAAATAGGCTCTAAAATGACATGGCCAGAATTTGTATAGAACTGTGTCCAAAAAAATAAAATCATGTACCTTCATATACTGTTGGTTATATTAAAGCTTATAAGTATATCTTTGCAATATAAGAAATTATGTATCTGAAAAAGAAGCTAGAGGCACCATAACAATGATACAAAAATTAATATTAATATTGTATTATCTAGATATTTATTATTGGTTCAAGTATATAAGTGTAGAATAAACATACGCAAAATAGAATTAGATTGGACACGATAAACATTTGTCTAACATTCGTTACTCCATGAAAATAGTTTCAAATGATAATAATTATTTTATATTAATTTTTTATATCCTGTATTAATTTTTAAGAGTTATCTTGGATAACAAGTGAAAATATATCAGTATTTGATAACTCAGATTATGACACTCAATACTTGATGTTTTTAGTGGCTGCCCCTAATATCTGTCTGGCCTTAGGGTAAATCCGCCAAACAAAAATTAGACCACATTGTTCCAGTTTCAAGGATTAAAGCTCTTGTGTTATGGAAACCAAACACTATGATACACATAAGAGGCAAAAATACATTGAACCCTGAGATCTTCGTCATACATGTAATCACAAATATAAGCAGTATCAAAAGTTAGAAGTAACCTATTGTAAAACTGCTTCGATAGGCAGTCGGTCCTTACTATGTAAATTGGGTCGGAGAAAAATCTATTGTAAATACTAGAAAAACTTCACAGACTATTTTTGGGTAATACTAATAACGTTTCTCTTGGCTATCGAATAGATGACGTCAAACGTTATTGCGCACTAAAGTTAAAAAGTGGAGGTTGTTAAATTTATTACTATAACTGTCAATATAATTTAAGGTCGACGGTCACTGAGAGTATTGCCTGACACGACAGCCAATCGGTGGCCGAGTAGTCAAAGGCGTGATGGCATCCATCATGGCATCAAAAGAAGGTTCGAGTCCCTCCTACACGATTTTTTTTTTAATCTTTCGTTGTAGATCAGCTTCTCTAATTTCTCTATCCGCTAAATTAAACAGGTGGTCGTTGCACTGTATATTTTATATAATGTAACGTTTTAACACAATGTTGTTTTTAATTATTTTACTACACGGCTTGCAATGGATTATATATTTTGTTGTCGTCGTGTAAAAATGCTAATTATTGTTGTGTAATTCACATTCTCATCAAACATTAATAAATTCATGTAAATTTTAGTGAAGGTTGGTCTACTTGAAAGGCGATATAGTTTTTACATCGGATTAAATTGCACCACAGCCTTTTTGCGTCTTCCTGGAATAGAATATCGAAGGCGCTTTCCGCGTAGCAAAAACTGTTCCCTTTATGTATGTACAAGGTCAACTGGGTAAACAATAGATGAATGAAATAGTTTTAAAGAGGTATTACGTATAAGTGGTATAGGATTGGATTACGGGTACAGTATCAATATATGTATGTATATTTCTTAGACACTGCTAAAATGACTAAACTAGGTATCTTTTCGACTTCAACTGATATTCAAGAGATCTATTTCAGAGAATGAAAAAACATAATAAGGGTGAATTTATGCAGCAGACAATGCCTAAGGGGTCATTTAATACAATTAACCAGAATAATATGACACAGCTTAGGAGTCTAGTTGTTTGTGGATCATTCATTGTTTTTTTTTTTAGGCCAGATCAATGAATGGTGACTCATTTATTGAATGAAAATCTGTATACAGAATAAAAGTCACTTCACACTATCAGTATGTTGAGATCTTATAAATTACACAAAAGATTTTAATGCAGTTATCATCAATGTATAGGGTAGGTTTATATGTATAAAGCTTTATATATTATAGATAACACTGGACCAAGTGGGCGAAGCTGCTGTCAGAAAGCTAGATAGTATAGTAAAACCTTTTAATCTAAAAGAAAATTAGATTAGTGTGTCTAGTACCAACAAATATGATAGGGATTAATAAACTAAATATGAACTGTAAAATATACATGTTGCTTTGTTGCTAAATTGGTTATCAAAACACTGTCTCAAAGTTAACAAGCTGGTTACTTAGTTTTGGAAGTTATGAATTAGTTAATAGTTCTAAAATTAATGCTTACTCACCACTTCACTATGTAAATAAACTAATAGTGAAAGAGCTCTTTATTTCAACACAGTTGGCCAATGATTACATTAGCAAATTCATTAGTATTATATTAACTAATGATTTTTCTATTGTAACCTAAATAAGGAAAATCATTACTATCCAGTTAATGATATAGCTTATTAGACTTATGTAAAGGAATATTTCTTTATCATTGGAAATAATAATTATTATAAGGAATATGTTTATACTATAATACTTCTCTTTGATGGCAATCTGCCATCTGACAGCAAAACCAGGTAGCATTTGAGAGTTTAGATTTATATATTTAGTGCTAGCGATGGCATAGAATATAAAAATAATCATGAATAAAATCATTCATAGATTACAAGTAATGAGCAAAAATCTTAGAAAGTCTTTAACCTTACATGCAGAATTTCAACTACAATAATTTGCCATCTAATGACAGCACTCTACAATTCATGTATGTGCTAGAGGTAGATGTAAGAATTGTTTTATCACAATCAAAACATGAGGAACTTATTATTACAGATAACTGATATTAATTGTTCTTGAATTAATTTATAGACCACATTAATTAAGTATTAAATGTTAATTCTCCACTTAATATAAATTGTAATTTAATAATGTTATATTTCCTGAAATAATGTCATTATTTTTGTTTAATTGAAATATGTTTATTATTACGTTTTAAAGGGATTGCCTTTAAATCGTAATAATAAACCTCTTTTTCAGTACTTTGTTACAGATGTCTAAATGAGTCACCATATGAATTTCCTTTAATTCATGTAGCACATGTTTTGATGTGTATGTAAGGTATACCTTTACCTTGTACACACAACAGCATGTTATGTTGCCACATGTCTAAAATCAAGTTTGAAAATTTGACAGTTTGTATAATGTGATATGCTCTATCAATATATATGTACTTTAATGTAATCATATTAATATGATGTAATAATTAAAAATGATAATTGATTGTCATATACTTTGGGCAATTTATGACTTAAAAAATCCAATATTGTTACTACTACTATATTAACACTTTTGAAAGTAGTAAATTTTGCCATCCTCTAGCAAATCTATGCCCGGAATTATGTCTATATTTTTAATGAATATGGTCAAAGATGAAAGGGAATGTCTATATTCTGTAAAGTAATTTCACACTTTCAATACAGATATGTTGGACAAACCCAAAAAGACAAAATGTGAATTTTGATCATGTATCATACAAATTTCATCATCATGATTACGTGAAATATTTCTATGAGTTTAAGTTTTAACATGATTATATCATTATTAAGGATAAGGGATTGTATGATGATACTGTCCAGGATGTTTGTTAAACATCTGCTTTGAAAATGGTTGTTAGGTTACAATTTGAAAACATGCTATGTACCTACCTCAAACACACCAAGACACCGGCCCAGTTTGCCAATGACTCCAGCTTCCTCGAGCACTTCTCGCATCGCAGTCACTGAGGGTTCCTCCTCCGGTTCTACACCGCCACCAGGCACGATCCAATTGTCTGGCCGCCGAGACGACGTCACAAGGAGGACCTGAAAATCGTATTTATTCAGTCTCTCTGCTTTGACAAGATAAAATACCACGATGGCACACTATTCTAGCTACTAACCTCCGTTTCGGCGTCCGACCGTACGCATATACATGCCGCACGGCGTCTAAAACCTTCGTCGTCGTAAATCCGAATAGAATTAGGTTTTTCTTTCACCATTTTAAGAAAACACGTAAACACGAACGAAACAGATGATCACAAACCTAAAGCTGACATCAAATATAAAGAAAACTATGAACCGAACGAAATTTTTAGTGATCAACAAACGCCATAACCGAGGTATCCTATGATAAACGTATCCATTTTCTTCTAATAAAGTTACACAACGTACATGTAAAATGAAACTATAATAACAATAACACTACAATTAGAGCAATATTTCAGCTATAACTAGCTTTTGATCGCGTATTTCAAGCCCATATTGAATGGTGCCTGACGTTTTCTTTCTTAGCGAAAATCGAAATAGCTTTCGGAAAGCAATGGGTTTATATCAGCTGACAACCGGAAGTGTCGAACGATGTTGCTAGTAAATAATAAATTTTATGACGTTTATCGTGAATATCATTTCTAACCTTATCCGAACGGACTGTTGTTTATGAATTTTGAAGCTTGTGAATCAAAGCATGTCATGCTATAAAAAAAAAATTACATGTATAAATTTATTTATTCACTTGACATTGACAGAATTGTGCGAAATGCGCTGATAAGCCATTAATAAAAGAAGAAGAAAAATAATCCACAAAGCCGTGCCTGCTATATTATAAAAAAATCCACAAGGGCAAAGCCATTAATTAATTAAAAACAGAAGAAGATACAAAACAACCAAAATCAACGGATTTAAAACAATATCACATTGTTAAAAGCTGTCCACACAACTAACCAATTTGAGCTCTGACCACCGACAATGTGACCTCGCTTGGTCGGGGGTATTGAGGCGTTTCATCTACATTGGCTGCCAACCAATGGTTTCGTTTTCGTTTTGAAGGGAAACCAGAGTTCGTTTTCTAACCGGTAGTGCTGCCATACTGGAGAAACAAAATGTTCAAAATATTTTTTTCATTTACAAAATATTTTTTCATTTAATTTAATATGAGTAAACGTGACTGCATGCAAAAGGATGTTTCATTTGAGAATGTTTCTTCGAAATTTTCTTGATTCAGAACTTTAATGTTTTAAATTAACATTGAAAAATGGATTAACTTATTAAAACAAAGCAAATTTAATAGACTGCTACTTTTATTTCAAAATTAATAATGTTTTTATGAAACTTAATTTCAAATCCCAAAACTTTTTTGTAAAATAAATTCTAAAGTTCAATCGCAACATACAGAAATCTACTAATAAAATATTGTTAAATCAACACTTATCTAAAATAATGAGATTTTGGATTCCTAGAAACATAAATTATTAATGTGATAAATTTCAACATTTTCAAAAAAAAAAACAATATTCACAAACATCTAGTCTTTCAGGAAATTTATCATCGATTAAGATATTGCCTTTAAGAATCTGTCTAAGATTGGATAATATCTCCAGTATATTTAAAAATCAATAATTTTTAATATATACAATCAATCACTTATAAATATTGTGATGTGTCGTTTAGAATTCAAACACATATATTGCAATTTTTATCTCTTTATGATTATGACAATCACTTCGACCAAGTGCGTCGAACGTCATGTCGGAGCTCAGATTTTTAACCGTATGGATATGACTTTTTAGAGTTCAAAATTAATGTGGAAGTAGTGATGTCGATAGATATTTTTGGATATGGTTTCTGATATGTATTAAAATTTTAATTTTGATGTAATAAAAGTAAATTGAGTATCGAAAATTATTAAATTTGACCATATTTTGTGTTTAGTGATGTAAATCTGAAAACATTACCACTGCTGTAAACCATTCCCAATGGGAATTAACTGATATACAGGAATATTTTTTTTCCAGTGCAAAAATTTTTTTTGGTGGTTCAGTATCAGTAACAGAACACTTTTCCATAATTAGTTAAAGATTTTTTTTTAAATATTTTTATCCCTGTCGAAACGGTAGAATATGGACACATTTTTTAAAATAAATCTTCAATGAAAACGTCTTCTCTTGCGTATACCACCATGCATCCCCGCCGCGCCCGGTAGCCCCCCGCCACAGCCCCCACCGCCCTGCCGGGACCGAGCGACGCGCGCGACAGTGGCGGCAGTGAGACTCATACGCACGCGCCGATGTGACGTGCCCTCGCGTTCCTGCGCACGCGACGCGCCCGCCTTCGCGAGTTTTACGAGATGGTACGTTTATCTTCTGAGTGGTGAGAACCTACATAAGCGCTATTCGGAGAAAGTATGCGACGAAGAGCATATCTCGTATGCGGGCCTTTGGGATCCGTAACCCCGCGGTCCCTAATGCTTCGAACCATTTTAACAGACGAAGTCCCAGAGTCAGTACCCACGATGCGGCATGTCTCTTTGGTGTGAGTCAGCCTGCGGTATTGAAGCTGCTAAAAACAGCCGGACTCCATCCGTACCACTTTCAGCCGGTTTAGCAGTTCCATAACCTAGACCCAGTACCACGTCGAGCCTTATGTGAGTGGCTTCTACATCACCGCGATGCAAACATCTTGTGGACGGTTCAGGCATTGTTCACACGTGAGGGTCTGTTTCTTATGGGAAGAAGTCAAACGCCGGGATGTAGAGGAGGCACAAAGTCTAGAAGACTTAACAATAAAAAATAATAACGCTTTTAGTGAAGTGAAAAGTGACACTAGTGTTTTAAAAAAATTAAATGACAATTTAATGAAATGTGCACGTTTATGTCTGGACAGACGTGGACTTCATTTTGAACAAATATTAAAATACATGGTAAGTAATTAGCAGAGGTCGGAATTAGGTAGAGTTATTTATGTACTTGCATCGAAATGTTGATATTAATGTGGACCTTCCCGGGATTTCTTTATTTCTTTCTTTCATTGATGTAAGTTTGGCAACGTCGTGCGTGCAGTAGTTTAAATTGTGTAAAAGTAAATAATTTTTTATTTAAAAAATCACAAGTTTTTCTGCTCTTTAAAATTAATCTCGGGATTTGAGGCATATCCACTTTGTTCTTTCGCTGTATGAAATCAGTGTAAGTACATGAATAACTATACCTAATTCCGACCACTGGTAATTAGTTAGGTATTTGTTTTGATTCAATATTATTGTAAATACGTTGTTGATTCCAATTTTTTTAAATACGCCTTAACGCAGAAGTACCTATGTAACTTCGGCATAACGTTAATATTTTTTTCTAGGTAATGAAATTGTTTATATTTTTTTTTTGCATTTTGATGGTCTTAACCATAAAAAAATAAAGGGAAAATTGAAATTACTCTTAGAAATCACCTCAGATCATGGCATAAAATCTAGCTCGAATCTAACAAAATGAGCGGTTAGTGACCCGTGTAGATAGGTACCTACGAGTACATACCTACGGCGTCGAGCGAGCGCTCAGCTGACGCACGGCGCGCGGTGTCCATAAATTAAGTTTTAAAATCTCGATTTTTGATAAGCGATAACTTTATTTTTTAGTATTAGAACATATCAAAATAAAAAATACGTGTTTGTTTAAATTACTTAAAGTTTATTTTCACAAAATCTTCGCAGTGGTTTTAAATTATTCCTGTATACAGACGATACGTTTTATTTTTATAAGCTTTATATATCGAGAAGTTTGTGAATAACAGACCCAATGATGTATTAGAAGAGGTTCCCTGTCCATTTGCATAAATTCTTAAGTCAAAATATAACGTGGCATACTTTTTATTATTCTATTATAATTACGCATACTTTTGATATGACATCTTCCACATCAATGAAAAGTTTATTTTCATCATTATTATATATTCATACTAGTAAAAAAACAAACTTATGTTCTTTACATTTAAAGCTAATTTTGCTACACTAGGTACGTATAAAACTTTACACCGGTTTTCTTCTCCAAATAAAGGAATTAGAATGGATTGTATGTGGAAACGACTACTTTTGATTAAGATTATAATGAGGAAGTATTTAAAAAAAATAAAAAATATATGGCAGCAGCCATTAAAGTTAAGAAGAAGAAGAAAAAGTAGATATGGCAGCACAAATTGTAGGATCTGAATATAAATTCATGACGTTAGACTAAAGAAAAAGAATTGTTATGAATCTCATAACTCGGATTAATATCAAGCTAAAATTCAATTAGTTCTAGTTATGCAAACGCAACACGATTTATACCAAAAAATCTTTGAAGTGGGCATAAAGAAGGTTCTTTAAAAGTTATGAAAACCAATAGAATTAATGTTGTGAAATTATTAAAAGTAGCATACAATAATAATACCGTGAAATAATTTTTATGATTTCCTGCAATAATCAATTTTTGGTAGAGTCGCCATCTAGTAAGGTCATAGAATAATATTATGGCTCTCACACAGTATGACAAAAATGTCACAATGCGTGGACTCAAGGTGGACTACTATGGTGTGCTCTCTTTTCCTCTATATAGTATTTTACTCTTTGTTTGGAAATTGACGTTTTGTATTTTTGTAACAGTTGTGAATTTGAATTTGGGTATTGTTGTAATAATTTTGTTATAGTTTTTTTTACAGGTGTAATGGGTAAGTTTATCGTTGTTCTTATCGGTTTTCGAGATGTAATATGATATGCATTTATTTTTTGGTCTTACAAACACCGGGCTTATGGCAAGTTCAAAATAACCATATTTACGACATTAATATCTATAAAATGAAGGCAATTGTAGTTTTCAAACATAATGGTTTAAATTATCTTCCCTTCCGTTGTCTGATGTCAACATGTAAAATGTGCAATTTGTTTGTATTTTTCTTTAGAGAAGAGCTTCGACCTTGGGCGCTTACTAAAAAATCATGAGAAGAAGCATAAATCTAAGCCCGTTCAATTTGGAAGCGTCGCCGGCGGGGTACTGTTCACTTATACATTGTAGCTTGAAATTTTTTCAAAATTCGTAGTAATAAGATGCATGTGGTAGGTCATATTTTGGAAAGCACTATTGCTTTATCAAAGTGATACTTAAGTTCCTTATCAGTTCTCAGTCTTATCTTATTTTCCAGGTTCAGAAGCGTTTGGAGAATAATATAAAATGTAGGAAAAGTAATCGACTGACTGCTTTTGACAACTTGAGAAATTTGACAACTTGTGAGAATACCAGAGACATTTCTGAAGTATCAGACAAAAAATCAAAAGTAGAACACAGAAGATTACAATTGGAAAAATGGAAGGAGGAAAAAGAGAAAAGGAAAAAGGAAGCAACAGCACAGAAAAAGAAACCTTTTGTGACAGGAGTGGTACATGCTCCACTGAAGTTTGTACCACCTCCACCTCTTTCAAAGCCCATGCCGAGTACTTCTGGCCGAGTGACAAGGTCACAAGTTTCTAAAAATGTCACAAAACCAAAACCTAAATATTCCAAGATAACACAATCATTTGCTCCAAATAATGCAACATTCAAAGCCCCACAGTTAAAAAATGTAATAGTATTACCAACAATGACTCAAGCATTAAAGAAAAAAGAGAAAATTGTTTATGAATTTAAACCTGTTTTACCAAACACATCAAAAGAAAATATAAAGCAGACTAGGGCAAAGACATCAAACAACAAGAAAATTGTTGAGGCTTCCATAACATGGCATAAAAAGAAAACTATACAGAACAAATCAAAGGCAAATATTAATAAGCAAACTCCTAAAAAGAAAATGCTTTCAAACATTTTGGAAAGTTCATCAAGTAGTGAGATTTTTTCATCAAAATCAAGTGAGAGTTGTAATGAAGTTGATATGGGGACCTCAACAAAATTCGAAACCTTAAAAAGACAGTCTATACTATTGCAATCCTCATCTAGCAGTGAAGTAGAAGGAAGTTCAATTGAAAAATCACCTATTTTAAAGAGTAGAACACCAAGACAATCTTTGCCAAAGAATACTAAAGCATTTACTCCCAAAAATCCTGTGCCTAAGAGTGAATCAAGTTCTGAAGAGAAGCTAAGGTCACCAAAGTCACCTATTGATGTGTCGATGACTCCAGAGCAGATAGATGAAGCAAAAAAGATAAGTCCATGTGTGACCATGTCAAGAGGAAAGGACAATGCAAGAAAAGAAATGAAGAAAAAAATGGAAGAAGGTATGTTGTGTTATTCTATAAACTCTTTAATGGTATATCAGAGAAATTCTCTATAACAATAAGTCTGGCAATAGTGATTCATTGCTTTGTTATTGAAAAAACAAATATTTTCATACTTCTATTGTAGACCAAATAAAAGACAATAATATTACATTAATATTAAATTATACAATTTCAAACATCTAATTAAATTACTGCACATCAATTTGGCATTCTTATAAACACAACTTTTTAAATATTATCAATATGTAATAAATTATATTTTTTTATGTTTTATAAAATTAATGTCTTTTTTTAGGTTTGTTGGATGAAGACACTAGTGACATTGATAGTGTAAACCACTTTAGAAGACAACTGGACTCTGAGATTAAACGGATGACAGAAATGTGTGAAGTTTGGGAGAAGATACGAGACCAAACAACACTCTCAGAATCTATACAGGTATTGTAAATGAGTACAGTTTCACTAAACATGATGTTAATAAAAAAAAAAAACCTATGATGTCTTAAACAAATGTTAAAATAAATTAAAAAAAAAAATTAAAACTTAATCCTCAACCATGAAAGATATGGTTGTTGATCAAGTTTTTTGCTTAAGGTTTGCATAAGGTTTAATTATTTTGGATCAGAGATCTTGTATTTTGGATTAGAGATATATTAAAAAAAATGGATTTCCTTCCTTAGTTTAGCCTTAAGTTGATGAGGTTTCTTCATGGCTCCCATCATCAGATCAGCTCTTTATGAACATTGCAGTGATGAGCATAAGTTATTTCCTATATCCTATGCTTTCGTGAATTACTTGAAATTAGGAACTATGATGTTATAAATACTGAGCTTGATGATGTGGATTGGCACTAAAGCAAGAATGGAGGGTTCCTCGAAGATGCAAGTACATTACGATATTAGTGCGTTATGATGGTTATAACATGCGAGGTGGAATTTCAGCCCGAGCTGAAGGCGAGGGTGTAATTGAGCCGAGCATGTTATAACCAATACGCACGTATATCGTACGACGTTTTTTAACACATTTGCGAGGAAACAGAAAAAAATCATCAAATAAACTCAATCTGTGAATGTACATAGTTGCTTTCCCGCCATTTTAACAGCGCGTTAGCGCTGCCTACTGACTGGCGCCGCGCGGCGATTATTTCGAAATTTGAATAGCAACAGCGCGCGAAATGGCAAATAATACTGTTATGGAATTTGTATGGACTATAACTTAACTATTTGCTTTGGTAACACACGCGTTTTTTATGACCCGCTTTACATATTTAAAACTGGTGGAATTACATCAGCTTTATGAGCAAAGGTGTTAAAAAAATATTTTATGATACAGTCTACTGTTTTAGAGATTCACATTCCCCACAGATTAACGTTTTCTAACTCTTTTCATCCTTTGGTACTGATTTTAAAAAGTTATTAAGAGAAAAGGGAAAATATAATCTTAAGCATATTAAGTAAAAGTACAATAACAAATCCTATAATAAGTATCCTTCAACAATGACTTATGAAGACAGAATCGGGACTGCTGGTAAAGAGGTTTGAATGAATGAATGAAAAATAATAATATGGAACAGTCTAATTGGCAGCCTTATTGTTTGCAATTTATTTGCAGATTGCTACAAGGTAAACTTTTGGGCAAATTGTAGTAGTAATGTTGCAGTGAATATCAGTGAGGGTGAATATCAATATAGGAGACATATCTATCGATCTCCAGTATTTTAAAATTACTTAAGAATGTCAGCTTAAATAGAAGTGCAATTATTGTTAAATATGCTAATAACTAAGTTGTACCGCTTTGTATTATCTTCAGGCACTCATTGGACGAAGGTCTTGTTCCTGCCATATGGAAATCTACTTTCATTGCATCATATATTAGAGTGAAAGTATAATATATTAGAGTAAATAATTATAGACCATTCTCAAAGCTTTTGCATCTTTGCTTAGGTATTTGAAAGTATAATTCACGGACAGATTTTTTTGCTCTTACAAATTGGTTTATAATCTTCTTGTGACTAATAACTACGTAACATCTTGCATGGATACTGGCACTCAGGTTGACTTGATTTTCACAAATTTTAGCACAGCTTTCGATTGTGTAAGTAATTTCATTTTGTTGATGGAATCCATAGAAATCTATTCTGATGGTTTTCTTCATATATTGAAAATCGTTTTCAAGTCATAACTATTAATGTGTTCCTGTCAAACTGGACACCGGTAACTTCGGGATTGCCACGAGGCTTCTTGCTTGGTCCTGTCTTATTAATGATATTGGTTCTTGTTTGGTAAACTCAAAATTTCTGTTATACGGTGAGACACAAAAATATTTAAACAAATTATTTCACCCGTAGATTGCACGTTTCTTCAAGAGGACCTCAACAGATTTTATAATTAATGTTTTTTAAATAAGCTTGATATGAATGTATTCACGTGCTATGCTATGACTATTACTCACAAATCGCAACCAATATAATTTAATTTTATGATCCAAAATAAAATATAGGCTTCAACATGTAAAATGAAGCACCTTGGTGTTTTGATTGCCTCAAAATTATTATTCTATGAACATATAGATTAAATTGTTAAGCATGCTTCAAAAGCACTTGGATTTGTTATTAGGTCCTCTTTCAAGTTTATCCAACTTAAAATGATAAAAGTTTTGTATTGTTCGTTTATGCTTAGTATCCTGGCATATGTTTCAGAAATCTGGAATTCTCAATACAATGTGCATATTAAGAGAATTGGGTCTATTCAAAGAATTTTTTTAAGGTATTTGCAATTTAAATGTAAACTTTTTCTGCCAATCTATGAAGCTAATGTAATAAGTTTTACTTTATTTCTCTTTAAGCATGCAGAGACATAGCTGACATTATTTATCTTACCAAAATAATGAACAATGGAATTGATCGTCCTGAATTATTGAGACAATTTTGTATATGTACCCCTTGTAGCAATTGCGTCAATATAATTATTTTCATGTCCCTAGCTATAAGATCAATTACAGGAAAAATTAATTTGTAGAGCTTGTACTCAAAGTAATAAAATTTTAAGAGATAACCCTATTGTGGCCGTTTTCCACGTGAAATCAATATTTATGAAGCTAGGCTAGGAAGAAATAGGATAGGATGTTATTAATACTATTAGCATTTCATATTATTAGTATAAGTATTATAACTCTCTTACATTGGTTGGCTATCTGTGAAAACTTGTTAATGCCTTATAATAATTTTAGTTCGTAGTTAATTACATGTGTTATAGCTGTAGTTTTCCAAATGTAATAAATAAAGAATAAAAAATAAATGTACAACATTATACTGACTAATAGGAGTGGAGAGGAGCAACAATTAAAAATGTTGCAAAAATGGGATAATCACGCGGGCAAAGCTAGTCTGTTATAATTAAAAAATTAAAACTAGTGCTTGTTGGTGTCTCAAAAGCTGCGTTAGTTATTGTTTTAACTCGGGTATCAGTGTGTTATAACGTATAAGTGAGCGAGTGAGTATGTGTGCAGGAGTTAGCTTTGAGCGCGGTGGGTCAGTCGCGGCCATTGATGTCTCAGAAGCTGCGACAGTTATCCTTATAACTTGGGTATTGGAGTGTTATACATATAAGGGAGCGAGTGAGTGTGTGTGCAGGAGCTAGTGCTGAGCGCGGTGGATCAGGTGTGTTGTCGATGTCTCAGAATCTGCGTTAGTTATCCTTATAACTTGGGTGTTGGAGTGTTATACATATAAGCAAGCGAGTGTGTGTGTGTGTGTGTGCAGGAGCTAGTACTGAGCGCGGTGGGTCAGGCGCGGCTGTTGATGTCTCAGAAGTTGCGTCAGTTCTCATCGCTGGTGGATCGGTGCGCCAACCCCTCGCCTGCGCACGCGCTAGTCACGCCCGCGGACCTCGCCGGATTCTGGGACATGGTCTTCATGCAGGTTCGTATATATAAAAAATAAATAAAAATCTGTTAAATACCAGCATCTTTGCAGGACTAGATAGCTTGCATCATATACGACGAGGTTTGACTTATGAGTTTTACTATACCTATATAATTCCATACTTTAACGGTACAGCAACGATTAAAAAAAATATTGTGCTGTCGTGACATTTATAGGTCTTTGTTTTTTTTTCTACGCTTATGCGTAGTACCGACATATAAGAAGCTAGATAGATAATTAGATTAATTACTAGATACTAGAGTATTTTACACATATATCCACGAAATTCAAAACCTCAATATTATTTGACAAAATTATTGTGTTTATAACTTCTGATCTAATAGCTGTTTCCTCTTCTTTTTGTAATTTTAATATATTTAGAAAAAAATATATATATTAAGCATATCTAATGTTTACAATATGACGTTAATTAAATTTTAGAATCAGAATGAACCTTGCAATTACTGTAAAACTATTTATTTGCATAATATGGTCTCACTAATAGTAAGAGTCAAATTATTTCTAGATTGCTACCATGTACTACAGGCTCCGCCACGAAAGTAACACCCGGCGCAGAAACTAAAAAAAATAGTAAAGAGTTTAACCGACTCAAAAAGAGTTTTGAAAAGAGAAAACTAATACTAAAATACAAGTCAACAAATATATTCAACGAACTTTTGTTAAATATGAGCGGTTAATATTAGTAGATCTACACAAACGTCCGCTATTCACCACTACTCTCGGCCCGCAAGTTGAAAGCAACTTACTTTCAAGTTGCTCTGTGATCATGGAGCTTGAAACAGTATCGAAATGTCGGGGAATCATTAAAAACAAAGTACACTAGTAATCCCATTAGCAGTTATTATTATAAATATATATATCCTGGAATATAAATACGAAATCCATTTATGTTTTGGTAATTCGTTAGGTTGAGAACATTGACATGAGGTTCAAGAAGTTGGAAGAGCTGAGGAAACGCAACTGGGTCGAAATCGTGCCAGTGGAAGCGAAGAAGAAAGTCGTGCCGAAGATTAACACTAAGAAGGTCGTCAAACCTATCGGTGGACCGAGCCGTTTGCGTGATATGATTGCCGGTATAAATATTTGATTATTACAAAATTAATTTAATTATTTGATGTTTTCTATTATATTGATAATCGATACATTTTTGAATTTAGCTGCTAGAAAAGCTAAAATGGACAGTGATTCGTCCCCAACGTCCGATGCTTCCACGGCAGACAATGCCGAGAGTAAAACTTTCGAAGCGGGCTTCTTCTGCGTCCGGTCGCCGATTAGATCCCCGCGTTCTACACCGTCGAAGCCAACTTTACTCAAAGCAGTTTTGTCGAGCGAGGCTAAGAAATCAGCGTCAAAGGTAATTTTAATATGACTGTCCAAAAGTGTAGTTTCTTTATTGATGACAATTAATCCGGTGAAATTAGCTTCAAAAATAGAGGTATGGTTACATTAATGTACAAAGCTGAAAATTGGCATGGGTGTTGAAAAAACTATTAAAAACAATTTGTCAAAAACTCTGTCAATCTGACCTGTCCAAAAAATAAATATTGTATTATTAATTAAAAAGTAATAGTACTATAAAAAAGGAAATGAATTATACTCTTGTATAGGGTTTTATTTACCTTGTCATGGTGGGTTAAATATTGTAATTAAATTATTTCCTGTTAAAACTAACCTGATATTAACAAATTTGGCTCTGATGACAATACAATAAAGTGTGCGTAAATTTAATATTTACGCGCTCTTTATTGTAAACCGTAAATCTTAGATGGCTGCTGAAAAACGGAATACATTGAGTTATAAAAGGGCTCGAGTAGTAGAATACAGCACATTATGAAACAATTCCAAATCTGCGATGGTGTCAAAAGATTTGACTTAAACACAGTGTTTATATTGTGTAGTAATATAATAAGTGTTTTGTCCTTTTCACTCTCACTATAAGTTACTTAGGAATGATACCCGAGAAGAGAGTTAATTGTAACAAACAACTCTTATAAACCTACATTAGTATCTACATTAACTGCATTATTTTTGTTTTTTTTTTTTTTCAATAAAATTGTATAATTAATGTATAGTTACTTTCGCCCGTACCTATTGCTGATGTATTTCGTCTATAAGTATGTAAAGGGATCTCCATCATTAGTACTAGATAAAAAGACAAGTAGTTACAAATTTATTTTTCTAAACCAGTGAAACTGATCCTTTCAGTCATTAAGGACCATCTGACAGGCCATGGACCTCTTTCTTTAATATGCGGTACCTAATAGTAGGTAAAGTGTTATCATATGTATTTATAAAAAAAACTTCTACCCTACAGACTATTTGGGATGCTTTCTGTCCAACAATGCTTCCACTGTTCTAAATAAATAATTACTACATAGAACAAACATAGACCAATAGAACAAAAACCATATCATTTTTTAATCAATTTTAACTAATTTAATTAAAGTGTTATGAATAAAATCTTCCTTCAATGGTATTTTATATGAATTATTAATTATCCACAGAGTTCATCATTTGCCATGCTTCGTGCATCAGTCCTGTGTAAGAATATAGAACACGATGGAATAGCTCCTTTGCCGGTGAGGGTTTATTGAACCGACAGCAGTTATATTTCATTTGCATGGTATGTTTTATGAGGTTTAATAATGAATAATTTATATTTGCAGCAAACACCAATAAACTTGAATGCTACACCTGCTCGCAGCATTCTGAAGTCTGCTACCGCTTCAGATAAAAAGGCAGCAAAGAAGTCCATAAAGGTAGTGCTATTTGACGATTCAGACAACAACATTCAAGAAAACTCAGATTCTACCGAAGAACCGTTCAACGGATTTGAGAATCCTCCCGAATGTCACAATGACAGTGGCATGTCATCTATGGATGTCAAGAACGAGGTTGACGTGAAAGAGAACAAGGAGAATGAGAGAGGAAACAGAAAGAAAAATAGACTAGTTCGTCAAGATGCTACCACCGAAGATGAGACTATGGTGATGACTAGGAGCCGTCGTAAGAGTATCAACACACCAAAAGATGTTCCGGAAGATCATGTGGCACAAGATAAGACACCTAGGAGGTCTTCGAGAAAAAAGAATGTTTTACAAGAAGCAGACAGCAATCTTGTGACAGCTAAGCATGAGACACCGAAGAGAATGGTTCGATCTAGACGGAGTACGGGATTGCACAGTGTTAAAACTTAATTTTGTTTTAATATTAGCTAATGTATAGCTCTGACTGTGCATCGAAGAGAACGGTTCCATCTAGACGGAGTACGGGATTGCAGAGTGTGTTCAAACTTAATTTTGTTTTAATATTAGCTAATGTATAGCATATTGGATGATTTGAAAAAACTTCAAGTTTAAAATATAACAAGGTTTTTATAAGTTTGCAAATGTCAAGTTACGGTTAGAATAAGAATCTGAACCAAAAATCAACAGTTGTGCCAATGATGTATGATGTATTTACATAACGGTTCATAAATTTTTGTAAAATAAGATAAGTTTGGTAAGAACATATTAAGAATGTTTATTTAACTGAATAATGTAATGTATAATTAAACATTTTCAGTCTGCTCAAAATAAAATCAATATAAATTTCCATGTATTACTTTTTGTTTTTATTGACGAATTTTGAAAAGATGTTTTTCAATTCATGAAAACTGTATACATTATTAATAATTTTGAAATAATCCTGTAAAGAAAGCCAAACAGTGCGCGATAATCTGTCTGTTATTTTAATATTTTGTATACCATCTCCGCGTCAGCGATAGCAATCAAAATAAACGCCTAATCTTATGTCAACGTTGATATATTTTTTTAAAATATAGGAGCTGACCCGGCGAACTTCGTATATGGCCATATTTATTTATCCAGTCGCTGAGTCGACTGAGGAATGTTTTTTGCGATGCTTTTTAGTTTATTTTGGATTTGTATTTAGATCTCTGATCGTTTGCTTATCAGGAAACAATAAACAAAACCTCGTGTAATTCACTAATAGGGTACATTTTAACTTGAAAAGTTGTTGTTCAATTGAAAATCTTAAAACTTGAATAACTCAGAAATAATCAAGTTTCGGACATGGTGTCTTATTACATTACTAAATTAGCTGTAAATATGTTCTACTTTAACACCTTTGAAGGAATGTATAGTATTTACTGTCGCCATGTACATATTTATATTTTTCAATATTTAACATTGCCAAACAATCAAAGAAATTTTTTAGCTTTATAATAGGTATTTTTATGTTTAGATCCCAACGCTTATTGCCTATTTCAACTAGTATAAGTTCGCTGTATGATGAGAATTATAACTGATTTCGTTGGCTGATACTGTGACTTTAATTAAATAATTCCAAAGAAACGGTAATCTTTTGATTACATTATTCTTCCAACAGTATACTGAGTTTTAATTGGAAAATATTATATTTAATCTTTTCTGCATTAAGATAAATATGGACAATCAGCCAGTTGCACAAACATATATCAATAATTTCATTAATATAATTCCACATTTCCCATGCAAATTTTTAAATTAAGAACACACATTAGAGCTTAAAATTGTCATTAAACCTTAATGGACACTCGTGCAACTGACCGAATGTTAGTAGTTTTTTTGTTGATATTTGTTTTAAAAATGCCTGTGTTATATTAAGATATCTAGATTAATGTTTTCTATCAACATATGTAGATATTGAAATTTTAAGTTTGACTCTCTTATTGTTATTGAAATGTCGAATGGTTATAATGAATTTGTAATAATTATAATAGATATTTAATAATGTATATAACATAAGGAGTTAGCTTAATCATAGCAATGATGCTTACTCCTATAAACTCCTTGGCGCTCATTTTTCCCATTGTAAATTTTATCTAGTTTCGATTGGGTACATCAGGGTTTTCCAACCATTTTTCTGGTGTGAAGCTATAACGTTACCTTCACTATAATAAAAAAAAACACATTTATGCTTTTTTTGGTATTTTACTTGATTTTTTATTATTTCTTTCAACACACACAGATAGTTTTAAAAAGTGTTTATTAAAAAATGTTTGTGTAATACCAATTATGTTTTCATAAAAATAAAATAAAATAAAAAACGTTTACGTTATATAACTATCAAAATTTCAATATAGTTGTGTTGTGAATGTCACAATTTTGTTAATTATTGATCCATGACTGACTGTTTTTGATTTTAGTAAGACATGTTTTAAGAACTACTGTCTGCCTGTTAGTTCGAAAATCGTGTGGAATATTTTTATACTGAAGTAAACGAGTTAACATTGAATTTGTGATTCTTGACTTTATTTGTTATTGTAGTTAGTTATATTTAGGTAATTTAGATTTAATGGCTATGTGTAAATTGAGTGCATATCTTCCGTGATGTACTACTACTGTAGAATGTGTGAAGTGCTCTTAAATGTATCATAATATTTTAAAATAAACTTAAAATTAAAAGTAACTTTGTTTTTTTTTAATTGCTTTCACTTTTATAAAGATTAAAGTTGGTTCTATTTTTGGAGAAATATTTTTATTGTATAATAATTTTATAATATGGTAATAATTATTAGAACAGAAAATCTTTGATATGACCCTAAACGGGTATGCAATAAGTGTCCATTAGGCGGTGTAATTGTAGGTAGGCTTAAACTAATAATGGTAGGTATTATTGTTGGACACATTAGGACATATAGAAGTATACAACGCTACGCTATAATTTTCCTGTTTTTTTTTGAGACGGAATTGAAAAAAAATTGGGGCCGTCTTTTATTAGTGCTCAGGTTATTACGAATTATGGAAAGATTTGACTGTTTGTATGTTTGTTCGTTTGCATGGAAAAGGCACCGAAACAAGTGGATCAATTTTTTAAATTCTTTCACCTATGGGGAGTTGCGTCATACGAAACCCCGTACATAGGGTATAATTTATGCGTGCGAAGTAGCGGCAAAACAAATAGTTATCCAAAATGAAATAAGGCTCAAAATCAAAACAATAATTTTGTCTATTTTTAAATGAACGCGTATTGTCTAAATAAGTAGGAACTCCACAGAAATTCTTGATTTTGAATTCGATTAATAATACCCAGCGCCAGGTCATTGAAATTTGGCGTTCTAGGCTAAAAACTAGAACGACTCCCAAAATTTATAAAAGAATTAAGTGTTCTTTTGCCAATACAAAACTAGTTAATTAATTAATGAAAAAATCTTTATTGTACACCAATGGACAAAACAAACATGGATACAGTTATTTAAATGCACAATTGGCGGCCTTATTACTAAAAAGTATTTTTTTCCAGGCAAACTTGCGAACTGTACAAAATTAAATCTTCATTAGATTAGGGTAGCTTATGGTGTCTCAAAACTATTAAAATATCATACATCTACATATATTAATAATAATGAATTAATTAAATATAATAAATACAATATAATGAATGTTGTTTAATGTCTGAAATCAATTTTTGTTCTAAAAACATTTCGTACCGCAATAACGGCTCTATGATATCATTATCAGCCCTTTTAGGTCCTCACTACAGGGGTCAGGCCTCCATTATGGATGGTAAAGGAAGATGGCGATGAGTCAGTGGAAGGTCATGCTCTTCGCTAGTCCTATCCGGAATGGAGGGTAATAACGACTGCAAATCAACAGTTTAAGTTGCCTTCCGAGGCATGGAGCAGCTCGAGATAGTAATTTTTTTATCATCCATCCCGTGACAGACCCTTGCGAAAGTTGCTGAACAACAACGATCGCGGGCCGCGGCGCTTATTTGCTACGCCGCCGAGTTATCCTGTCTGATATGCGTAAAAGTAATCTCCCGCGCTGCTTATGCGGTTCCCTTCGACCAATAACAACGCCTCTAGCACAGTATTTATTTATTTCGTAGAGGTAATAGTCAGTAATCCCATCCAGTGTAGAGTTCCACATAAACGGCAGACATGCTGTTATCTGTGGTCGTTTGGCAGCGACAGTAAGTGGGTCGGGAATACGGGATGCGAGCCAGCTGGCTACGGCTATGGTACGAGGTTATGTTAAATAGAGCCTGTATTGTTCATGCAATATCAATCAGAAGAAAGTATATTTTGAAACAAAAAACAAGTTTTACGAAACTAGTTTCGATACACGTGTTACTTTCAGATAATACTCGTACATATGTTTATAATTATGCAAATGAAATTAACTAAACATTTTCATTGCAAATCAACTGACAATTAATATTTTGATAATAATTTCTCCTCTCGTCTTGATTATTTGTAATGCACTATATTCACACACATTGCAGTTTGTCTTCACAGATAACCGGGGGGCCAATTCTTAAACGAACTTTCAATTCGAAAACGAACGAAACTACAGTTTTTAATGGTTTTTATATTCTACTAAGTGACATTCGATACAATTCCAGCTAAAATAGAACCGTTTTCGATTCGATTTAAACAAAATTTATTTAGTAGAATTGGCCCCCAGTCCGTTGTTCTCAGTCAGCTCAGAATGTAGTTAGTACGACTGCAAAAAAACTGAGTTGAAATGCAGTTCGCTTGTCTAGTCTTAAATTTACTATGTTCACTACAAAATTCACAATTAAGATCTGATTGTTTTTTGTGTGCATTAAATAGTGTCTCAAATTATTGGACCGATTTTTTCAATTACGGAAAAATACATAAGACGCAGGTGACATAGACTATAATTTACGCGAGAAAAGTTGCAGGAAAACAACTAGTACCACTCAGAAGAAAAATTACGACTAAATGTTACTCACATAACTGGAACTTACTCTTTATTTATTCCCTATTCTAGTAGAAACCAATTTGGAAGCGTATTCGTTATCACTTACCGTCATTGTGTCGGAAAAGTTTTTGCTATCATTCGATTGAAAATATTAACCCCATGGCAACATTATTCTTGACATTCCATTGTGGAACCACCAAGAGAGTTCGAGACATCGATATTTTATAGAATCTTTTCTATTTATTGGCATAGCACTACCACTAGCAAATCTATATACATAAATAGTAATAGAACAGAAGACCGCCTAAAGATCTCGCTATAACTCTAGCCATAGCTATAAGAATGTTTTATTGATTCTATCAATAAATATGTTGATATTCTTATACAATGTTCTTGTTTTATTATTTACATTTAATCAATGCTTTTGCTTGTTTTAGTTGACTGAATTATTAAAGTTGACTTTTATTAAAGTCGAATTTAAACAA